GCCCACTTCAGCAACTTCCTTCAGCTTAAAAGCCCACTTCAGCAACTTCCTTCAGCTTATAAGCACGCTTCAGCCACTTCCTTCAGCTTATAATCATGCTTCAGCCACTTCCTTCAGCTTATAATCATGTTTCAGCCACTTCCTTCAGCTTATAATCATGCTTCAGCCACTTCCTTCAGCTTATAATCATGCTTCAGCCACTTCCTTCAGCTTATAAGCACACTTCAGCCACTTTCTTCAGCTTATAAGCCCACTTCAGCAACTTCCTTCAGCTTATAAGCATGCTTCAGCCACTTCCTTCAGCTTACAAGCACACTTCAGCCACTTCCTTCAGCTTATAAGCACGCTTCAGCCACTTCCTTCAGCTTATAATCATGCTTCAGCCACTTCCTTCAGCTTATAAGCACACTTCAGCCACTTCCTTCAGCTTATAAGCCCACTTCAGCAACTTCCTTCAGCTTATAATCATGCTTCAGCCACTTCAGCTTATAAGCCCACTTCAGCCACTTCCTTCAGCTTATAAGCCCACTTCAGCAACTTCCTTCAGCTTATAAGCATGCTTCAGCCACTTCCTTCAGCTTACAAGCACACTTCAGCCACTTCCTTCAGCTTATAAGCACGCTTCAGCCACTTCCTGCAGCTTATAATCATGCTTCAGCCACTTCCTTCAGCTTATAAGCACACTTCAGCCACTTCCTTCAGCTTATAAGCCCACTTCAGCAACTTCCTTCAGCTTATAATCATGCTTCAGCCACTTCAGCTTATAAGCCCACTTCAGCCACTTCCTTCAGCTTATAAGCCCACTTCAGCAACTTCCTTCAGCTTATAAGCATGCTTCAGCCACTTCCTTCAGCTTATAAGCATGCTTCAGCCACTTCCTTCAACTTATAAGCCCACTTCAGGAACTTCCTTCAGCTTATAAGCATGCTTCAGCCACTTCCTTCAGCTTATAAGCACGCTTCAGCCACTTCCTTCAGCTTATAATCATGCTTCAGCCACTTCCTTCAGCTTATAAGCACGCTTCAGCCACTTCCTTCAGCTTATAAACACGCTTCAGCAACTTCCTTCAGCTTATAATCATGCTTCAGCCACTTCCTTCAGCTTATAAGTACGCTTCAGCCACTTCCTTCAGCTTATAAGCACGCTTCAGCCACTTCCTTCAGCTTATAAGCACGCTTCAGCCACTTCCTTCAGCTTATAATCATGCTTCAGCCACTTCCTTCAGCTTATAAGCACGCTTCAGCCACTTCCTTCAGCTTATAAGCACACTTCAGCCACTTCTTTCAGCTTATAAGCCCACTTCAGCAACTTCCTTCAGCTTATAATCATGCTTCAGCCACTTCCTTCAGCTTATAAGCCCACTTCAGCAACTTCCTTCAGCTTATAAGCACACTTCAGCAACTTCCTTCAGCTTATAATCACGCTTCAGCCACTTCCTTCAGCTTATAAGCATGCTTCAGCAACTTCCTTCAGCTTATAATCATGCTTCAGCCACTTCCTTCAGCTTATAATCATGCTTCAGCCACTTCCTTCAGCTTATAAGCACACTTCAGCCACTTTCTTCAGCTTATAAGCCCACTTCAGCCACTTCCTTCAGCTTATAAGCACGCTTCAGCCACTTCCTTCAGCTTATAATCATGCTTCAGCCACTTCCTTCAGCTTATAAGCACACTTCAGCCACTTCCTTCAGCTTATAAGCCCACTTCAGCAACTTCTTTCAGCTTATAATCATGCTTCAGCCACTTCAGCTTATAAGCCCACTTCAGCCACTTCCTTCAGCTTATAAGCCCACTTCAGCAACTTCCTTCCGCTTATAAGCATGCTTCAGCCACTTCCTTCAGCTTATAAGCCCACTTCAGCAACTTCCTTCAGCTTATAAGCACGCTTCAGCCACTTCCTTCAGCTTATAATCATGCTTCAGCCACTTCCTTCAGCTTATAAGCCCACTTCAGCAACTTCCTTCAGCTTGTAAGCATGCTTCAGCCACTTCCTTCAGCTTATAAGCATGCTTCAGCCACTTCCTTCAACTTATAAGCCCACTTCAGCAACTTCCTTCAGCTTATAAGCATGCTTCAGCCACTTCCTTCAGCTTATAAGCACGCTTCAGCCACTTCCTTCAGCTTATAATCATGCTTCAGCCACTTCCTTCAGCTTATAAGCACGCTTCAGCCACTTCCTTCAGCTTATAAACACGCTTCAGCAACTTCCTTCAGCTTATAATCATGCTTCAGCCACTTCCTTCAGCTTATAAGCACGCTTCAGCCACTTCCTTCAGCTTATAATCATGCTTCAGCCACTTCCTTCAGCTTATAAGCACACTTCAGCCACTTCTTTCAGCTTATAAGCCCACTTCAGCAACTTCCTTCAGCTTATAATCACGCTTCAGCCACTTCCTTCAGCTTATAAGCATGCTTCAGCAACTTCCTTCAGCTTATAAGCCCACTTCAGCCACTTCCTTCACCTTATAAGCACACTTCAGCCACTTCCTTCAGCTTATAATCATGCTTCAGCCACTTCCTTCAGCTTATAAGCATGCTTCAGCAACTTCCTTCAGCTTATAAGCCCACTTCAGCCACTTCCTTCAGCTTATAAGCACACTTCAGCCACTTCCTTCAGCTTATAAGCACACTTCAGCCACTTCCTTCAGCTTATAATCATGCTTCAGCAACTTCCTTCAGCTTATAATCATGCTTCAGCCACTTCCTTCAGCTTATAAGCATGCTTCAGCCACTTCCTTCAGCTTATAAGCATGCTTCAGCCACTTCCTTCAGCTTATAAGCCCACTTCAGCAACTTCCTTCAGCTTATAAGCACACTTCAGCAACTTCCTTCAGCTTATAAGCCCACTTCAGCAACTTCCTTCAGCTTATAAGCCCACTTCAGCAACTTCCTTCAGCTTATAAGCCCACTTCAGCAACTTCCTTCAGCTTATAAGCCCACTTCAGCCACTTCCTTCAACTTATAAGCCCACTTCAGCAACTTCCTTCAGCTTATAAGCATGCTTCAGCCACTTCCTTCAGCTTATAAGCACGCTTCAGCCACTTCCTTCAGCTTATAATCATGCTTCAGCCACTTCCTTCAGCTTATAAGCACGCTTCAGCCACTTCCTTCAGCTTATAAACACGCTTCAGCAACTTCCTTCAGCTTATAAGCATGCTTCAGCCACTTCCTTCAGCTTATAAGCATGCTTCAGCCACTTCCTTCAACTTATAAGCCCACTTCAGCAACTTCCTTCAGCTTATAAGCATGCTTCAGCCACTTCCTTCAGCTTATAATCATGCTTCAGCCACTTCCTTCAGCTTATAATCATGCTTCAGCCACTTCCTTCAGCTTATAAGCACGCTTCAGCCACTTCCTTCAGCTTATAATCATGCTTCAGCCACTTCCTTCAGCTTATAAGCACACTTCAGCCACTTTCTTCAGCTTATAAGCCCACTTCAGCAACTTCCTTCAGCTTATAATCATGCTTCAGCCACTTCCTTCAGCTTATAAGCCCACTTCAGCCACTTCCTTCAGCTTATAAGCCCACTTCAGCAACTTCCTTCAGCTTATAAGCCCACTTCAGCAACTTCCTTCAGCTTATAATCATGCTTCAGCTACTTCCTTCAGCTTATAATCATGCTTCAGCCACTTCCTTCAGCTTATAAGCATGCTTCAGCCACTTCCTTCAGCTTATAATCATGCTTCAGCCACTTCCTTCAGCTTATAATCATGCTTCAGCAACTTCCTTCAGCTTATAAGCACGCTTCAGCCACTTCCTTCAGCTTATAATCATGCTTCAGCCACTTCCTTCAGCTTATAAGCCCACTTCAGCAACTTCCTTCAGCTTATAATCATGCTTCAGCCACTTCCTTCAGCTTATAATCATGCCTCAGCCACTTCCTTCAGCTTATAATCATGCTTCAGCAACTTCCTTCAGCTTATAAGCATGCTTCAGCCACTTCCTTCAGCTTATAATCATGCTTCAGCAACTTCCTTCAGCTTATAAGCACGCTTCAGCCACTTCCTTCAGCTTATAATCATGCTTCAGCCACTTCCTTCAGCTTATAAGCACGCTTCAGCCACTTCCTTCAGCTTATAATCATGCTTCAGCCACTTCCTTCAGCTTATAATCATGTTTCAGCCACTTCCTTCAGCTTATAAGCATGTTTCAGCCACTTCCTTCAACTTATAAGCATGCTTCAGCCACTTCCTTCAACTTATAAGCATGCTTCAGCCACTTCCTTCAGCTTATAAGCATGCTTCAGCCACTTCCTTCAACTTATAAGCATGCTTCAGCCACTTCCTTCAGCTTATAAGCATGCTTCAGCCACTTCCTTCAACTTATAAGCATGCTTCAGCCACTTCCTTCAACTTATAAGCATGCTTCAGCCACTTCCTTCAACTTATAAGCATGCTTCAGCCACTTCCTTCAACTTATAAGCATGCTTCAGCCACTTCCTTCAGCTTATAAGCTGCAAACACACAACACCTTGAAGCTCCCAACAGTTTTTGGCATTCCATTTATCTTGTGTTGCTCTATTTGTATATTTTATTTAAGTCATTTTGATAGGCATCTGAATATTCTGGGTCTCTTCTTTTTCTCCTGTAGCATTACTGCAAATATGTTTATCTCCATATAAAAAGATCATTATTGGTACAGGAAATGTATATGTTTATCTCTCAGAATGTTTGGTAATATGTTTATTGTTTGTGATGTGTGTATATGTATGTATTAACACGATGTACTGAACGGGGTGAGAATAGCTTGAGCTACCTCGTCCTTTTGTGTGTATTTTACCTCAATAAACTTATTTCAATTTCAATTATTGGTACTATTGGCACCTGGACCATCATCAAGTTGATAATGGTCCGCGACGGACCAAACCGTCGTTGTTTCTTAATCTTCTGGTGTGTGGTTTGGTCGTCATATCTTGAGTCATGTTGTTGTGACTCATTGTCTGTATATCATGTTATATAATGTGTGTAATATTAACCCCCTAAGTGTTTCTTGTTGTACAGGTCAGTTGCATCAGCGTGAGTTGCTTGAGGATTGGGATCACTTCCATGTCTTACTGAAAGAGATGCTGCATCGCGCTCCTATAATGAAGAATTGTGTCCTTGGCCGTCTCTATAACACTGCATGTGCGTTTTCAATGGACCACAGATGGATAGTTGGATTGGTGCCTGAGGTATGTGCTTAACTGAAGTGATTTGAATAACGTGTTTGCTCTCATAGTCAGTGTCCAGGGGCCAGATTCACGAAGCAGTTACGCAAGTACTTACGAACCAGGGGCCAGATTCACGAATCAGTTACGCAAGTACTTACGAACGTGTCCATCTTTCCTCAATCTTTGACGGCTTTGGTTACATTTATTAAACAGTTTACAAGCATGAAAACTTGCCAATCAACTGTTGTTATTGTTATAAACAGCCTCCTGGTGCTTCAGAGCTCATTAACTGTTTAATAATTGTAAACAAAGCCGTCAAAGATTGTGAAAAGATGTATTGGTTCGTAAGTGCTTGCGTAACTACTGCGTGAATCTGGCCCCAGGTTCGTAAGTGCTTGCATAACTGCTGCGTGAATCTGGCCCCAGGTTCGTAAGTGCTTGCATAACTGCTGCGTGAATCTGGCCCCAGGTTCGTAAGTGCTTGCATAACTGCTGCGTAAATCTGGCCCCAGGTTCGTAAGTGCTTGCATAACTGCTGCATAAATCTGTCCCCAGGTTCGTAACTGCTTGCATAACTGCTGTGTGAATCTGTCCCCAGGTTCGTAAGTGCTTGCATAACTGCTGCGTAAATCTGTCCCCAGGTTCGTAAGTGCTTGCATAACTGCTGCGTGAATCTGGCCCCAGGTTCGTAAGTGCTTGCATAACTGCTGAGTGAATCTGTCCCCAGGTTCGTAAGTGCTTGCATAACTGCTGCGTGAATCTGTCCCCAGGTTCGTAAGTGCTTGCATAACTGCTGCGTGAATCTGTCCCCAGGTTCATAAGTGCTTGCATAACTGCTGCGTGAATCTGTCCCCAGGTTCGTAAGTGCTTGCATAACTGCTGCGTGAATCTGTCCCCAGGTTCGTAAGTGCTTGCATAACTGCTGCGTGAATCTGTCCCCAGGTTCGTAAGTGCTTGCGTAACTACTGCGTGAATCTGTCCCCAGGTTCGTAAGTGCTTGCATAACTGCTGCGTGAATCTGTCCCCAGGTTCGTAAGTGCTTGCATAACTGCTGCGTAAATCTGGCCCCAGGTTCGTAAGTGCTTGCATAACTGCTGCGTGAATCTGGCCCCAGGTTCGTAAGTGCTTGCATAACTGCTGCGTGAATCTGTCCCCAGGTTCGTAAGTGCTTGCATAACTGCTGCATGAATCTGGCCCTAGGTTCGTAAGTGCTTGCATAACTGCTGCGTAAATCTGTCCCCAGGTTCGTAAGTGCTTGCATAACTGCTGTGTGAATCTGTCCCCAGGTTCGTAAGTGCTTGCATAACTGCTGCGTGAATCTGTCCCCAGGTTCGTAAGTGCTTGCATAACTGCTGCGTGAATCTGTCCCCAGGTTCGTAAGTGCTTGCATAACTGCTGCGTGAATCTGTCCCCAGGTTCGTAAGTGCTTGCATAACTGCTGCGTGAATCTGTCCCCAGGTTCGTAAGTGCTTGCATAACTGCTGCGTGAATCTGTCCCCAGGTTCGTAAGTGCTTGCATAACTGCTGCGTGAATCTGTCCCCAGGTTCGTAAGTGCTTGCGTAACTACTGCGTGAATCTGGCCCCAGGTTTGTAAGTGCTTGCATAACTGCTGCGTGAATCTGTCCCCAGGTTCGTAAGTGCTTGCATAACTGCTGCGTGAATCTGTCCCCAGGTTCGTAAGTGCTTGCGTAACTACTGCGTGAATCTGTCCCCAGGTTCGTAAGTGCTTGCGTAACTACTGCGTGAATCTGGCCCCAGGTTCGTAAGTGCTTGCATAACTGCTGCGTTAATCTGTCCCCTGGTTCGTAAGTGCTTGCGTAACTACTGCGTGAATCTGGCCCCAGGTTCGTAAGTGCTTGCATAACTGCTGCGTGAATCTGTCCCCAGGTTCGTAAGTGCTTGCGTAACTACTGCGTGAATCTGGCCCCAGGTTCGTAAGTGCTTGCATAACTGCTGCGTTAATCTGTCCCCAGGTTCGTAAGTGCTTGGCATAACTGCTGCGTGAATCTGTCCCCTGCTATCCTAGGGACACAGCAGATTCCAGCCAGGGTGTGTTTGAGATTCTCATTCCCAATGCACTGGAGGTGTTGAAACTGCCCATACAATCAGTATTAAGTCCCACCTTATTCAATGTATTAATGAAGAGATTAGCATCAGAGACGTATCCTCCAGGGGTCACGACGATCATATATGCTGATGACATTCTTATACAAGGCACTTCTGGGAACAAAATTCAAACTGCTCTTAACATACTTGGTACAGCCTGCCACAAGTTAGGCTTAGTTATAAATGCAGATAAAACCAAATATGAGTATAGGAAACGAAGAAATATAACACTTACTCTAAATGGTGTGGAACTGAGCCGTGTTCAGAAGTACAAGTATCTGGGCATGTATGTTGGATACACATGTGAGAGTAAAAATGCTGAAATAAATCATATCAGCACCTTATGTAAAGCCCGTCTGCATCCTCTGAAACCACTGGCTTTTTCTGGTAAAGGTGTTGGGGTACCTATCTTGCGGATGTTATACATAAGTACTGTTCGGTCCCTGATAGACTACGCAGCACCCGTATTGTCTTACACAGGCCAAGGCAGAATTAAAAAAATAGAGCTGATACAGAACGAGGCTATGAGGATTATTCTTGGATGTCAAAGAAATGCAATGATTGAAATAATGAGAATGGAATTAAATTTACAGAGTGTGTGTGATAGAGTCCGTGACATTAGCACTAGAATATCTATTCGTTTCATGCGGAGAAAAGGAGGGGATAAGCTGTTTGAGAGCGTTCAGACCTGCTTGAGTGACGTACACACTTACAGGAAACTGAGGGAGACACGCTACACGAGGGGGATTAGCTCATGACCTCAGGGAATACGACGTACTTGACTGCTGTAAACCCTCTCGACAGTGTAATATGTCTGCTCCCTGGAAAGTACAGAAAATAGAAGTCGAAATTGTACCCCTCAAGGTGAAAAAGATTCATCATGAACCGGGACAATTACGGTGTTTGTATGGAAGCATGATATCTCGGTTACCAAGAGGCAACAGTTTACATGTATATTGCGACGGGTCGGTGGCGGAGGATGGCAGGGCAGGGTGTGGTGTCCTAATAAGGGAATATACGGAGTTTGGGACTGTGGACAGGATAATTGAACTCTGGCTTAGTAATTATATATCATCCACACAAGCTGAACTGCAGGCCATTCTGGCGTGTTTGGAGGAAGTACGTCATGACGACAAAAATGTTTTTGTATTTGTCGATAGCCGAGGAGCACTGGAGTCCTTAAACAGTGAAAACTCAGTCTTCATGTCTATAGTTGAGGACTGTAAGAGAAAAATAACTGAGATACAGCTGAAAGGTTATAGTGTGAAATTCATGTGAATTCCATCTCATGTTGGAATAGTGCTCAACGAGGTGGCGGATGACTTGGTCAAACGTGCCACATCAAAACTACAAGTTGACATTGAATGTGAATTCACAATGAGACAAATAAGAAGCAAAATCAGAAATATTCAGGCACAGGCAGGAGTGGAGAGGAGAGAGATAATGTATGAGAGAAGTCAAACCATGCAACACTACATGTATGTGAGTCAAAACACCCATTTCACTTATGGTAAAAGGAGAAATGCTTGGAGTGACTCTGTGTACATGCAGCTCAGGTTAGGGTACAAATATTACTGGGAATATGGGATAGATGTTCATGATAATGACACGAGGTGTAAACTATGTGGTATGTTAAGGTCTCACAAAGTTGGGCAAAGTTTCTTTCACCCTGAATGCCCCTGTTACCTAGCAGTAAATAGGTACCTGGGTGTTAGTCAGCTGTCACGGGCTGCTTCCTGGGGGTGGAGGCCTGGTCGAGGACCGGGCCGCGGGGACACTAAAGCCCCGAAATCATCTCAAGATAACCTCAAGATAACCTCACACCCTGGCCCATTATGTTCTTGATTGTCCGTTGATTAATGTATATAGAAACACTGAGATAAGGACTGTTCCTGAACAAATAGCCTGGATGTGTCACAACGGAAAGGTTGATGATATTCTTGAGAGATATAAGAATTTTGCACCAAGGCTGTAATATTTTGTTGAATTATCTGCATGTCTCTTGCAAATTGTCTATACAGTATACCTAGGTCATAAAAGTATTTGTGTGTACGTCTGATAACATACTACTTGTGAATGAGGAAATGTATATGTTTATCTCTCAGAATGTTTGGTAATATGTTTATTGTTTGTGATGTGTGTCTATGTATGTATTAACACGTTGTACTGAACGGGGTGAGAATAGCTTGAGCTACCTCATCCCTTTGTGTGTATTTTACCTCAATAAACTTATTTCAATTTCAATTTCAATTTCAATCAGTTTTGGATGTGAAATTAAGAGATAACTAATTGATCTTTAGGTATTTTTATTTCATGTGTTGTGGGTTTATGCATTAATTGAATGTATAATTGTGTGTATTAATTATCATTCTTGAGTTTTTATTGCACTGCCATTGAGAGTGTTTTCTTCTCTTTGTCAGTTCCATGGTGCATTCAGCTGGGTTTTTGTTCTTATGAATTGCCCCAGCCTCTTGCAGGTGTGGTGGGATCTAGTGCCAGACCTTGGCACATGAACATTGCAGGTTTGTTTGGTCATGGTATCAAAGTCTGTGCATTCATGTATTGTTTAACCCTTGCCCGAGTCTTACTTGTTAGTGTTATGTGGTTTGACGCGGCAAACATGACTCGTGAAACCAAGTGACTTCTTCAGACTTGCTCTGGGCAGGTTATCCTGGGATCCTCCTATGCTTTTATCTAGTCAGCTCTCCTGAGCAGTGTAGGGATGGCATTGCCACTTTGTATCGAGTCTGACACTAGTGTAATTTTGTGGGATTCTATATTTTTTCTTGTACACTGAAGGTCAAACTCAGCATTACTGCTGTCTGGTATAGGGATACTTTTACCCTTCAGCATGTTCTGTGTCTCAGGGCATTCTCACTTAAATATCAGTGGGGAAACTTATTGCAGTGCCATATTGTTTGAATGAAGGTGAAGGACATCTTACCTTCAACAGCAGAAAGTTTCACCTTCACCTTTTCAATTGTCTAACTGGAAAGACGAAGGCCATTTTTGTCTTCCTTCTCTGTGGGTCGATAGCTTCAGGAAGCCACAAAGGGCTCCCACCAGAAATGCTGTGTTGAATGTATTGGAATACCAGTTTCTGGGTGAGTCCCGGTGGCTCCCTGACAACCCTTCCTTTGCCCCCAATATATCAAGGGTGTTTCCATCACCATAACTGAGATTGGAGCAGCTGGCTGACCCCTGGATGCCTCCCTCCTTCCCCCCCAAGTAGGAGGGGAGATGGGGGAATGAGCTGGCACTGGTTTCATGATTTTTTTCATCATTTGTTTATATTGTTGGAGGAGATCATTTGGAGGTTTTGAGGCCGCAAATCTCATTTCTAATAAGCAGTAGTCTGTTTTGTCGAGCTGATATTCTGGGTGCTTTTCACAGTGAGTGGCAGACATGATTATGATTCATAGAAATGTTATTATATGTGCCACTGCTCTCTGTGGCTCTATAGAGGGGACCAGGTTCTGGTTCGTCGTCCCCTAGTAGGCCTTAAAGAACCCCTCAACTGGTGGCACATAATAATTTGGCACTATATCAGCATAGTAGCTTCAGGGAGCAACCACGGCTTACCCAGAAATTGCATTTCATTACATTCAATGCTGGTTTTGAATGTAATTAGAATTAAAGGCACAGCCAGGACTGTACATATTTTTTAAAGAAACTGATAAATTTTTTGATGCTGTAGACTTGTTTCTTGAGGTTGACCGACACAACCACATGTAAACACAGATAATATGGCTGCGTAATGTCACATGCAGAGGGGGGAAGGGAGGGTGATTTAGGAGCCAGATATGGCAAGCGAGAAAATAAGTGAAAACACAAGAAATGACAGTGAAGAAGTCAAGAGTGGCTGTAATGTGTTATGATAGTCATCAGTCGTCAAAATACATTTACACTACAGTTGCTAATGTATTAGGATATTTGTTTTCCTTTGATGCTGCAGTATGAGCGTCCCCCCCCCTGACCTGCTTCATGCCACCCCCCACCTCCCCCCACATGTGAAAATAGGCAAGATAATGATGATAACTAGAATACTAAACTTTGCCATCAAAATGTAATTTCTGAAGATCAAACTTTTTTTGCCCACTGATCAAAATCTTTGGATTAGTACAACCGTTTGTATTTTCAGCTTGAGAATTATTTTGTGGCTGCTGGGTTAAGAAGTGGCGGGAGCACTGCGGCAGGAGGCATTGGCTCTATGATTGCTAACTGGATTGTAAAGGGAACTCCACCCATGGATGCATATGACCTTGATGTCCTGCGCTTTCTGCCCGCTCACAATAATAGACGATTCTTGTCTGACCGTGTGCGAGAGGTTCCTGGTAAGTGTCTCAAGTCCAGGATTATGGCTTAAATTGTTACAAAAAACCATGTGTTCAATATCTGCTTCGGTATTTGAATATATTTGCCCATTAGACTGTTGGTATTCATGGTTACGGTTATTCTTAGTTAGCATTATTACGTATTTTCACTCTTTTTCATTGCTTTATTAGAAATATTTTCAGTCAACATGTTCCTTACTGTGATACATAGTAATTTAGTCAATTAATAGCATTAAATATAAATATAACTATTAGACACTAACTGTCAAAGACATGCAGCTAACATTACAAGCCTAGTGACCCAACCGATCCTTGCACAATATGTTCCTCTTGCAGCCTAATTAGTTCGTTGTTAATGTAGCTTGTCTCGGTTATATGCTGAGATAACTCTCAGTGACTCAGTTGAGAGTCCACAGTATTGCTTTGTGAGAGTCCACAGAGCAAATGACTCCCTCACTCGGAGTCTTCCCAATCTTCACAAAACACAAAAAGGCTTGGATATTTGTTTTTGTTTCATTTAACTTTTATACACAAACGTATAATTTTATGAAAACAACTCATCATCATCATCATCGTCATCATCATTATTGAGAAAAACAATTGTAAGATGGAGGTGACTGGAACAGCGATCAGGATACTCCCATCCACGCACCTTACCCCTGTACCACAACATATTATTATTATTTTGTCCCCTGCACAGGCAGAGGCACCTTTGATGATAGCTGCACTTTAAAGGGTTAAAGTTTCTTTGTTAGCTCACAATAGGTAGGGTTGAAGATATATTAAAACATTTTAAATGTTTCAGGAGTTCATTACAGTATTGCATACCCGTTTGCGGACTTCAAAACGGGACGATGCCTGCGGATGTCTCCAATATTCCCTAAACTGAAGACTGCAGGGGCTGTTTTTGGCCAAGTAATGGGCTATGAACGGCCCAGCTATTTTAAAAGACAAGAAAATACAAATTCAAAAGGTAAGAGTTCAGTTTGGTATGCAGGAGATGTTGTAAGGGTTCATGCTGATTTCCCCATTATTAGTGCGTATAAGTACAAATCATAGTTACAGTCTGTATTAGAATATTGAATCCTCAACTGGAGTACCAGTCAATGCACCCAAATATGAACTTCATACATGAACAAATTCACAAGGGCCATGACGAGGATTCGAACATGCATCCGGGAGCATCCCAGACGCTGCCTTAATCGACTGAGCTACGACACCATAGCTCCCTAAGGCATCTGGGATGCTCCCGGACGCAGGTTCGAATCCTCGTCACGGCCCTTGTGGATTTGTTCATTTGATGCATCACGTTAGTGTGATCTCTGTGTGTCATTCATATGTGAAGTTTATATCTGAGTGGATGTTTTTTATTTATACTTCATTAAAAAATAAACTTACAACCTAAATTTCATAATATGCTTAATGAGATGAACCTTGAATGGAGAACACATCCTTCTCACTGCCTAAAATCAATCATTGTTAAATGATAGTTTGGAATTAAACATTTTTATTTTTAATAGCCCTGAGATCTAAATGTATAAAAAAAAAGTCTTGAATATTTGACTGTACTGGAATTGACAAAAGTGAATGGCTTTTATATTAGGAACTAGAATTGTTTGGCAGGATCCAGAACTTAGTCATCTAGAAAAATAGTATAACAATACTTCATAAATTACTCAATCTGAAATTTCCAAAAAGTGAAAAGGAGCCATGTACAGTACTTGAACTTCCTTAGTCTGAACTTCCTTAGACATAACACACACTTTACAAAGGGGCGATGAGTCACAATAACGTGGCTAAATTATGTTGACAATCGACTTGAGAATGGTCCAAGATGGACCACAATCATCTTGAGAATGGTCCAGGATGGACCACAATCATCTTGAGAATGGTCCAGGACGGACCGAAATGTCGTCGTCCCTTCACCTTCTAGTGTGTGGTCTGATCAACTTTACAAAGGGCGATTACAATGAGGACAAATGATATAGAAATAATACTTTGTTGGTTACTTTACTCATGATACAACATTTCTCATGAAATAGAGGCTGTATTTCAAGATCCTTCAGCAGTTTTCCTTTTCTCTGGCAAATGTGCTGAACATGGTTAATGTTCTCTGCATATTTTGTATTTCAACACTTTCAATAACCTTAAAGGTGGGTGTTAGCATCAAGTCACTTAACAATCTTTGCTTGTTGACCAGACCACACATTAGAAGGTGAAGGGATGACGATGTTTCGGTCCATCCTGGACCAATCACAATTGACTTGAGAATGGTCCAGGATGGACCGAAACGTCGTTGTCCCTTCACCTTCTAGTGTGTGGACTGGTCAACATACATCAGCCACGTTATTGTGACTCACCGCCTGCAATCTTTGCTTGGCAGATTACGATAATGAGAATGATGCGGAAAATTCTGCACCATTCCAAATGGCATTCACCAACACCTGGACAAAGCCGGATTGGTTTAATTCTGCGGCAGAAGAGTATGCGGCGTGCAGGGAACGTGTTGCAATTTTAGATTATTCGTCTTTTGCAAAGTTCGATGTGTGGGTAAGTGTTATATTTTAAGCTGTACACGCAATTTATACACAGTATTTTAGGATGAAAATTCTGTAATCTTAATTATTATAATATGTGCATAAGAATGATTTTTGAACTTAATCATCCTCCAAATAATAAGTTCAAATGTTAGAGAGTTTGTACTGTTGTTGAGGTAGAACAGTCAGCACAACCCACCATTGAAATTGAAATAAGTTTATTGAGGTATAAATACACACACAAAGGGATGACGTAGCTCAAGCTATTCTCAACCCATTCAGCACATGTTCATATATAGACACACATCACAATCAAAATATTACCGAACATTGTATTGTGGAATCAACCAATTATCTCCTTCGTAAAGGGAAGTGAGTATTAGGCATGGATCTTGGCCTTACAAATTCCTCAAGATGAAGGGCATAATGAGCCTCTGGTCTGGGGCCGTAACCTACCCAGGCTGTGAAATACAGACTTCCGATCTATCTACCTGTTGTTGGTTCTGGGGATCAATGTCCTTGCGGCTCGGTCTCTGACCAGGCCTCCTGGTTGGTGGTATGATCAACCAGGCTTCCCCATGTAAATATATTCCCCATTTTTAATCTCTGGATTTTGAAGGTGAAATTGGACAAGTACCTACAGTAAGTGCTAGATCAGTCTTGTTGTAATGAATTTAGGGTCTCTGGGCCACTGTGAGCTTTACTGATTAAGTAATAACCAGAGAAGTCTGGTCCCCAGGCAGCTTAGAGAGTATAGGATTTCTACACTACCATGGGTAATAATATTTAATTCGTGTGGATCATCGGAAATTCAAACTCGGACCTCAAAAGGGAGCATCCATGTCCTGGTTGTTAACACAACAGTCTCCTACTTCTGAGACCCAAGTTTGACTCTTCCCTGATCCATGTGAATGAAATACAGTAACCATGGAAGGTAATGTTAAAGAGTTGATGTAATTTTATATATAAACTGAAACCCAACTTAACTGGATCAATACATTGCTGGCTGATGTTTATATGGGCAAAATCCAGTTATACGTAGGAGAGGGCTACATAATGTTGGTAGTTAGGAAGTAAAGGCGTCCCTCCAAAGAATACCTGATCAACCAGGCTGTGATTCATATGTCAGGCTGTGAGCAGCCACATCTAACGGCTTGGTTGATCACACCACCAACCAGGAGGCCTGGTCAGAGACTGGGCCACTGGGACGTTGATTCCCGGAATCACCAGCAGGTAATCACAAGGAAATCTCCACACCAACACAGCTAACCATGCAACTTCTCATATCATCTCTTTTTATCAGTTCACACATTAATAAGCAGGCGATGAGTCACAATAACGTGGCTGAGAAGTATGTTGACCAATCCACACACTAGAAAATGAAGGGCCGACGACGTTTCATCGACGACAACAATCGACTTGAGAATGGTCCAGGACGGACCGAAACGTCGTTGTCCCTTCATTTTCTAGTGTGTGGATTGGTCAACATTAATAAGCATTCTATTTCGACCATATTTAGAATGAGAAAAGTGAATATTAAAAATTTTTAATAATATTTATAATATTTGCTCTTGTTTTAATAATTACGGTATGTTAATTTTCAGTCAAAGGGGAATGAAGTTGTTGAAGCGTTGCAGTACCTGTGTAGTAATGATGTTGATATACCCGTTGGTGGTATTATACACACTGGCATGCAGAACGCATACGGAGGCTATGAAAATGACTGCTCTTTGGCACGTATTGCTCACAACCAGTAAGTATACTGACTTAATTCATGTCTTATTATGCAGATGATTTTCAACTTCTATAGTGTGAAATACAAGTTCAAGTATGTTTATTGAGATAAGAAAGAAATACATCTCAAAGGGATAGAGTAGCTTAGGCTATTTCTACCCCCCAGACTAGTGTGACAATTATAACTTTTCGTTAACTATAGCTTGCAAGTGTTAGATCTTAAAATGCAGTCTCCGTAGCGCAGCGGTAAGACACTCGCCTGCCGTTTTGCAAGCGTCTTGCCTTGGGTTCGAATCCTGGCCGGGGAGGATTGACCGGGCACCAATCCTTAACTGTAGCCTCTGTTCACCCAGCAGTGAATGGGTACCTGGTTGTTAAACGCTTCGGCAGGGTCGTATTCCGGGAAAATTAGGATTAAGGACCTGCCCGAAACGCTATGCGTGCTAGTGGCTTTACGAGAATGTAAAACTCTTGTTAATGCATTTTTCATTATCTGTACAGCTACATGATGATAGTACCCACCATCCAGCAGACTCGGTGTGGCACGTGGCTGAAGCGTAATCTTCCAGCTGATGGTTCAGTAGTACTAAGTGATGTTACGTCCATGTTTACTGCCATATGCATTATGGGTAAGCTATTAGGCAGAGTTAGGCATGAAGTATAAATAGGTTTAATTTATTTTTGAAGTTTAAAATGCCTTTAACCATTTATATTTTGTGAGTGTGTAATTTATGTCCGTTCTACAGTACGGAGTCAAACTGAAGCGAATAATCTAATCAGGGCCTAATAACCCTGAACTCTGATAAGCCTAATGAGTAATATTAGACATCCTGTTGCTAATGCTTATAGAAATGAATCCCAGAATGCTATATTCTTTTATTTTGTACATTTATGCATTGATTTTTCTGGTGGGCCAAACAGTGGCTCCATCTTGCTAGTTGCATTGAGATAACTGCAGTCATATCAGCCCTTATAAGTCGCTATAAGCCTCCCAGGGATCAGAGAGCAGGGAATTCATGATCACCCCATTTCCCCCATCCCCAGAAAGCCCCTAGAAAGTCTCCAAATATCCCTCAGAAAATCCCCAGATAACCCTCAGAAAATCCCCAGATAGCCCCAGAAAGTCCCCAGTTAGCCCCCAGAAAGTACCCAGAAAGTCCTCAAAGTCCCCAGATAGCCTCCAGAAAGTCCTCAAAGTCCCCAGATAGCCCCAAGAAAGTCCCCAGAAAGTCCTCAAAGTCCCCAGATGGCCCCAAGAAAGTCCCCAGAAAGTCCTCATAAAGTCCCCAGATAGCCCAAAGAAAGTTCCCAGATAGCCCCAAGAAAGAAGCAAAAGAAACAAACAACAGACAGGGTCAAAAGAAAGGTTATAAAACCTGAAACAATCCAGCCAGTAGTTGGGTCACACTCTCCTAGACACCAAGGACCTGCTGGCCTCCATATGAGCAAACCCTCAGTCAGTCATCTGATGTTACCTTCTGCTCACCACCCAATTGAATTGCAAAGTTCTTAAGAGTCCCTTATTTGTAGGAGATAAGTATTGGCCATCCTTTAGCCTCTGTTCTGTGGGGTGGGGGGTGGGAGGTCCGTTTGCTTGTGTACCGTTCCGGTCTTTAGTATTTGCTTCACGTGCTTGTGTTTACGAGCCTCGCTTGTTTTGTGTGTGGACTTTGGCTACAGTTGACCACAAGCTGCATGTGTTTAGAGCTGCTCTTCCCTGGAGCTGCTCGATGATGTTGCCCCCCTGCACTGACTGGCTTACTTCACTAATGTGTTCAGGTGTTTGTCCCTTAGAGGCTATCCTTCTGTGGAAAGTGTCTTACCCTGAGTATTGCAAAAGTCTTCGACTCCTCTGCAAGGCTCTGGGGATGGGGGTGTTCTGGTTTTGATCAATTAGTGGGGTGCAGTATGGGTTGCGTGCTTGTCCATACGCCGCACCCCTGACGACGTCCGTATCAAAGTTTTTCTCGTGGGCTACGTTCGTGTCATTTGCTTTCCGTGAATGTCCCAAGTGCCTGAGTGTCCTGCTTGATCTTTATCTTCAAGCTATGGTAAACCCTGTGGATCTTTGGTGTGGATTATCAATAATCAGCTCACTACACTCGCTTCTGGCGAGTTTGAGGAATGCCCATTGATTTTCCTACATGCTGGTGGTCATTTGTACCGTCTCTGCTATGCCACTTGTCGAGTGGATATCAACCGTCTTTGCTATGCCACGTGTCGAGTAGGTATCACTCTTTGCCCCGAGGCCTGCAACACTTGGGTTCTCTGAGACTAACAGCATAAGATAGCTTGTTGTTTATGTTGCTAGAAATGAATCTCATTTTACATTTATCTCTGAAACAGATGTATATAAGTAGGGTTCGCCCCATTATGTGATGAATGTCTGCCTTATCCTACCACCAGTTGGATAACTTTATTAAAACTAGACTTGGGTCATTTTTTCAGAGATTCAGATTATCTTATGTTGAAAATATTATCATTGCAAATTAATATTAGTCCACTGTATATTAGTAATGGTTATTCTTGCAGGTCCGTTGGCAAAGAATGTCTTGTCAGAGTTGACAGATGTGGACCTCTCAACCAAAGCCTTTCCATTTTTCTCATTCAAGGAGATAGACGTGGGTCTTGCCAATGGTATTCGTGCAATGAACATTACCCACACAGGAGAGCTTGGATGGGTATTATATATACCTAATGAGGTACGAGTTAGAATAACTTTTTAACTTTAGTGTAACATCACAGTACATCCTCCCCTTCCCTCCACCACCAGTACATCCTCCCCTTCCCTCCACCACCAGTACATCCTCCCCTTCCCTCCACCACCAGTACATCCTCCCCTTCCCTCCACCACCAGTACATCCTCCCCTTCCCTCCACCACCAGTACATCCTCCCCTTCCCTCCACCACCAGTACATCCTCCCCTTCCCTCCACCACCAGTACATCCTCCCCTTCCCTCCACCACCAGTACATCCTCCCCTTCCCTCCACCACCAGTACATCCTCCCCTTCCCTCCACCACCAGTACATCCTCCCCTTCCCTCCATCACCAGTAGCAACAGCATCGCGTGGCATCACAAATCACAATGACACAATTTCATCACAATCAAACCCTATAACACCAAACTTGATCCAATTAACAACTAAAAGAATGACATTACCACTAGTGTGGCTTTGTGTTAGTCACTATGCACACGAACGCATGCCCCTGGACACAAAAGGTCACCTGAGGACCACATAAAGAACCTTGCGTGAGGAGCCTATGCAACACTTTTTCAATTTCAGAATCACTTTTAATCATGTGGATGGTGAAATTTTAAAGAAATTGTTCGCAATCTTTGTGACACCAAAATTGAATATGCAGCATTTGCGTGATGGCCATATCTCAATAAACTGGAAATTTGCAAAGATGTGCAACTGAATGGTTTCTGGAACTGAAAAACAACGGCTGTGAGGAGAGAGATTAGTGCTAAATATGCAAAGCTAGAAGATAGAGGCAATTTGCACACACACAACTGAATCATTATGGGGTGATTGAAATAGTGTGTAATTGTTAAGTAGGTCACTATGTTGAAAAATATAGAGGAGGATTGTTTTGGAGATAGTGTAGTGTTTTCTCCAAGGCATACTTTTAATGATGGTTTCAAAGCTTTTCTCAAATACTGTACTGTGGTGTCAAACGTTACATGTCTGCATCACATTATTCTCAGACAAATGGCCTCATTAAAGCTCACATCAAAACAGCAAAACTTCTGATGATAATTACAATTCAAAATGGCTATTATGAGAAAATAAATTCTAGGACTTGTCAAGATTTGCAAAAAGTTTCACCCAAAATGAAAATGACATCAAATAAGTGATTCGCAGCAAGTCGTCATTAAGCAAAAAGTCAATCAGTACTACAACTGTGCTTTTAGTTCTTTTCTGTCATATGATATTAGCACATCTCTGTGTGTTCAGTATCATGTCCCAAATCGCTGGATTAAGATCAATGTAGTTGTCGATATTGGCCGACACTGTGAATACCTTGTCATATTTCATCATTTTGTTCACTCTAACCTCTTTTCTGGGGGGAGCCCCGTCGGTTCCCCGGAGCTATCCCAGGCTGATATGCTAATGTCAGACTTTGGCATCAGTCATGTGTATGGAGTTCTTAGGCCTACCGGGGACCACGGCCAGAACCGGGCCCCCTCAGAGAGGCAAGGGGAGCAATGGCCTATAGAAGCCCCCGTGTGGTTGGAAGCATTCTATGTCTGCCATCGACCGGAACAGGCACCCAAAAAGGTAAGCGCCTCAAAACAAACCCCTATTCTGGTTAAAATTGCTACCAAATACCGAACTAGTGGATAGAACTCCCCAACCGAAAACAAGCAAACTAGTGTGACGTCACACACCGCCGCGCCGCTGTCTGCGCAGCTCCCCCCTCCCCGGGAGGGGGAAGGGGGAGCCCCAGACCCCCCGCGCCGGCTACCCACACCTCAGTTCTTGAGGCTGATGCTATAGGCGATGGTCGTGTGCTCTGGCTCCGGTGTCGCTACTGCACTGTGCTTTGCGTGTGGTGTTGGTTTTGTGGGTGCGAGAGCCAGGAGTTATCTTCAGTACTCGGGCTGCATGCGCCTAGGGCTGCCTTCCCTAGGTGCCCTGTAAGTACTGCCCTAGGGGCTTGGGGCCACCTTCCACAGGCTCCTCGGGGTCTGCCTCTGCTGGTCCGTTTTACCTTTCGGTTTTTCGGCCGCCTGTTGGGCTCTTGGGTGTTCTGTTCTCCCTTGTTACCGGCAGGTAAGAGGCAGTTTGCACTGGTAGGGGCGCAGGGTGCTGCTCAGCTTGTATTTCCCGACATCGCGGCCGGCTCTGTTCCTTGGGGTTCGCTGTCCTCTTGCGGGGTTATGTTTTTCTGTTTGTTTTTGCCTGGTGGGGGGTTCTGTCATTTAATTCAGTTTGTTTTTGCCCTTCCACTGTTCTCCTCGGTGGCGCGTCCTGCTAGGTCCCCGTGAGTGTACACGTTCCTGGGGTTCAGCTTTAGAAGTTTGCTTGGTAGTTTTGGGTGCCGGTTTGCAGCACCCTGCCTGGGACTACCTGAGCGCGAGTCCTCTTAAAGTAAACGCTCAGGACCCTGGGAATTCCCTAGGGGGCGCGTGGGTCCGATGGATGTGACCCCGGAGTCCCCACTCGCTGTGTGCGAGTTTGAGGGTTGCTCGGTCCCCTTGTCTCAGGGTGACCCTCATTGTTTTTGCCTCTGCCACGCTGCCTGTTGGGTCGGTGATACTTTCGACCCTGAGTCCTGTGAGTGTTGCTGCTTGCTTGTGACTCAATTTACCCAATCCTCTGATGATTCTATTCGGGTATAGGCGGCGCGTGCGTTGCAGTCTAGGTTTCGTCTGTTGCAACGCGCTCGGTTGGTTGCTCCCCCGGATGCCCCGGGGCTGCCCCGCTTTGCATTTCGAGACCCGGACTTGGGGGTGGGGGTCGCTTCGATCCTGGTTCAGTCCGCACCTCCTCGTCCTTCCCCTTCTGTTCGTTCTGGTCCGTCCCCCTGCTTCCGGCCCCGAAGTGTCTGAGGGTTTCGGGGTCGGAGCAGGGGTTACTTGATCTCGAGACTCGGGCAGCTTCTGGGGGGTGCCCCTTCCGGGGGGGCGGCAGAGGCATTCGAGTCTTGTCTCCCGGCCGAAGCTTCAGGGTCTGACCAGTGGGCCCCCCTTCCTCCAGCTTTTCCAGCTGCTCCGTCCTTGTCTTGTGGGGTCGGGCCTTGGGGAGAGGACTCGGCCTCGGGTCCTGTGGTGAAGGACCTCGAGGCTGGGGAGGGGCTGACTTGGGGGCCTTGGGCCCCGCTGGACCCCACCTGGGTTTTTCTTCCCTCTGAGCGGGGCTTATTGTTACAAGGAGTGGGGTTTCTTTCCTCCCCTCTGTGTACGAGTTGGATTTGGTGTCGGCCCCTCCCCGGGTTCGGTTCCGTGTTCCCCCGGGTACGTCGGTTCCGTCCTTCCGGAGGTTTTCGGCTTATCGCATCCAACCTGGTGTGGTGCGAGCGGCCTTTGCAGCTTACCTCCTGCGTGACCCGGATTATGCCTCGGAAATGGATCCGTCCACGTTCAGGTTTGGGACTTCGTTCCCTTTCTGGCTCCGTTACGAGGTTCCAGAGTTGTCCTGGCTAGCAGACTGCCCCTTGTTTGGTCTGGATTCCTGGCATTCCTTCTGTCGTTCCCGCACGCTGGAGTGGCGGGAAGCTTCCACGGTGCTTCAGGTTTTCCTGGGGGGCGAACTTGAGTACCTGAATGAGTGCTTGTTTGCCCCTGCCCTTCCCCGCGATGTGGGCGTTATTCAGCTCCATGTGCAGGTTCCCTCCCTTTCGGCGGCGCTCGTTGCGGAGGACTTGCAACCCCGGGGCCTTTTGGCTTTGGCCTTGCGGTTCTTTTCCCTCCTGGAGCTGTCTTCGGATTGGCTCGTGGAGGATGTGGGGACGCTTGGGTCCGTCCCGGGGTCCGGCACCTTGTCCTCAGCTGCGCGTTCGTCGGCTGCCTTGTTGAAGCTGTTCACGCCGATTTTGCGGGATGCGGTTTCCCTGTTTTATGCTTCCCGTCTAGTGTGTTGGCAGGCGGTGCTGGGTTCCTCCGTGGAATCTGCTTGGGCTCTGGCTCTTAGGCATTCTTCACCTTTTTGTCCTCTTCTGTTTGAGGAGTCAGCCGTGGCGCAGTTTATTCAGGCTGCGTCGGCAGCTTGTCGTCCGATGTCGGACTTGTTGGTTTTCCGGGGGTCCCGGGGTGGGTCTTCCCGGAAAGGTCATGCCAGGGCTCGGGGTTCCTCTCGTCGTGGTAGGCCTCTGGTGTCAGGTTCGGGGTTGGCTCCTCCTGCGGACCCTCCCTCGTCTGGTCGGCGCGGTGTTCGCGCTGTGCGGGGTTCTGGGTCTCGTAAGGGTCGCCGGCCCTTTCGCGGTTTGCCCCCTTGACGGGGCGACTTGCACTGTTCGCCCGCGCCTGGTCCCACGATTCGTGGGCCTTTCGGGTCGTGTCTCACGGCCTGGGGTGGCGTTGGGTGGCCCCTCCCCCCTTTGGGGGGTCGGGGCTGGCAGGGCAGGTTTCTTCCCCTGCGCTCTGTCGAGTCGTCTTGGAGTGGGTACGCTTGGGCGTCGTCGTCCCTCAGATGGGTTTCCCGTCTGTTTCCGGTTCCGAAACGGGACTGCGCGGACCTGCGGTTCATTCTGGACTTGTCCCGTCTGAACCCCTAAGTTCATTGCCCCTCCTTTCGGATGACTACGCTGTCTCAGGTTCGGCTCCTCTTGGAGCCGGGAGCTTGGATGGTGTCCCTGGACCTCCGGGATGCTTATTGGCATGTCCCGATTCATCCGCGGTTCAGGGACTGGCTCGGTTTTGTTGTGGGGCGTCTGAGTTACCGCTTTCGTTGTCTCCTGTTCGGGTTGAACCTGGCACCTCGCGTGTTCACGCGCCTTACACGGGTTGTGGTGGCTCGTTTGCGTCTCCTAGGTGTTCGGGTGTTGGCTTACCTCGACGACTGGCTAGTTTGGGCTCCCAGCCAGTCAGCTTGCTTGCTAGCCAGGGATTTGGTTCTTTCCCAGCTCGCCGAGTTCGGGTTCTTGGTGAACTGGAGGAAGTCCCTTCTGGTTCCCTCTCAGGTTCGGACTTGGCTGGGTCTCGTTTGGGACTCTCGAACCGCCTCCTTGTCTCTCCCTCCGGAGTCTCTCCTGTGGCTGCGGTCCCGCCTTCGTCTGTTTCTGGAGGGCCCTCGGGTCACCCGGCGGTTGCTCGAGGGGCTGTGCGGGAGCCTGAACTTCGCGATGGTGGTCTACCCGCCGGGTCGGGTTTGGCTTCAACGGCTGTTCTGGTTCCTTCGGGGTTCCCCCTTCCGCCTCTCGCGATCGCAGAGTTCGACCCCCGGGGGCCTTGTGTCGGTTGCTGCGTCACCGGCTTCCTCTTCGGGTTTTTCGGGGTTCAGTGCCTTGGCGCCTACCCGAGCCCTCGCTCGATGTGTACACGGATGCGTCGTCTCTCGGCTGGGGGTTTTGTGACCAGTGCTCACCAGGCCGGCCAGGGGCGTTGGGATCCGTCCTTCCGTCGAGCTCACAGCACGGTGCGGGAGTTCGCAGCAGTGTGGTTTGCTCTGGGGAGGATTCGGGTGGCCCGCGGATCGACGATTCGGCTCCATTCGGACTGCTCTCCGGTGGTTCATTGCCTGAACCGCGGGGGTTCGATGCGGTCCTTGTCTCTTTGGGGTTGGTCGCTTCGGGTGACTCGTCCGCCGAGTTCTCGGGGTTTGGCTCTCCTGGCGGTTCACGTACGGGGCGTGTCCAACGTCTTGGCCGACACCCTGTCTCGCTTCGTTCCCCTCTCCACGGAGTGGACAGTCGACGACGAGTCCTTCCGTTGGCTTTGCCAGACGTTCGGGCGCCCCGAAGTGGACCTCTTCGCGTCGGCGTGGTCGCGGCGCCTTCCCGTTTATGCGGCGCCCTTCCCCGATCGCGAGGCCGTCGGGGTCGATGCCTTTCGGCTAGACTGGCCGAGGTGGGGGTTCCTGTACCTCTTTCCCCCGGTGCGGCTGTTGCTCCAGGTCCTGACTCGCTTAGAGACTTACCAGGGGAGAGTTGTCCTTCTGGCCCCTTGGTGGCCGGCCCAGCCTTGGTTTCAGGCGCTGGTTGCTTGGTGTCCGAACCCGAGGGTTTTCCCGCGGCTCCGCCTCTTTCAGCAGATCGGGCCGGTAAGTCACGTGGCTGGTTCGATCTTCTCCTCGAGTCTTCGCGTATGGTTTTTTTGACTCGAGTCTATCATCATCTCTATGGTGATCAGGTGGCCTCCTTGTTGGTGTCCCACCTGAGGGCTTCTTCTCGGCGGCAGTATGAAGCTTCCTGGCGGTCCTTCCGTTTCTTTTTGCGTCTTCGTCGTGTTAGTTCCTTATCTGTTCGGGTGGTCTTGTCCTTCCTCTTGTGGTTGTTCAGGACCATCATCTTATGCCTAACACTGTCGCTTCGTATCGTGCGGCGCTGGCGGAGCCGCTTCAGCTTGCTTTTGGTATCGATGTTACGTCTGCGCCGTTTCGCAAGCTGTCTTGTGCATTGTTTCACCTCCGGCCTGCTCATGCGTCGCCTGAGCCGTCCTGGTCTTTGGACAGAGTGCTCGCTTTCCTTTCATCTCCTTGTTTCGTTGTGGCCCCTTCGGTCCAGGATTGTTTTTCCAAGGCACTTTTCTTGTTGGCTTTGGCCTCTGGGGGTCGGGTAGGGGAGCTTCATGCTCTCCTCCAGTGCAAGGGTTTCTGCTCTTTTGGTCGTGGTGATTGTTTTATTCGTTTGCAGCCGTCTCCTTCTTTTCTGGCGAAGAATGAGACTGCTGCGTTCCGGAGGGGTCCATGGGTGGTTGATGCTTGGTTGGTCTAGCCGGGGGTGAATCATGTTTTGTGTCCGGTTGCGGCGCTTCGCCGTTATTTGCGCGCCACAGCTTTTGTGTCTGGGGACGCGCTGTGGGTTGATCCGGTTTCCCTTGTTCCATGTTCGCGGATTCGGGTCTCTCAGGTCGTCCGCAGGGTTATTAAGTCCTGCCAGCCTGCGGTCTATCCCCGTGCCCATGACGTTCGTAAGTTCGCGGCTCTTGCTGCCGTCTTTGGGAATATGTCTTGGTCTGATATTCGGGCGCGGGGATTTTGGCGGTCGAACAGGGTCCTGGCTGCTCGTTACCTTGTGAATGTCCCTGGGCCTCGTCGGGCCTGTGTTGCTTTGGGTCGGCGGTTGCAGCCAGTTGTCTCGGCTTCAAGTTGAGGAGTGAGCGTCGACCGCCTCCCGGGTAAGTCCCTCTTTTTTCTGTCTGTGGGTAGTTAGCTCCGGGGAGCCGACGGGGCTCCCCCCAGAAAACCAGCGTTGAATGTAATGAAACGCCATTTTCTGGGTGAGTCCCGGAGGCTCCCCGGCATCCCTCCCTCCCTCCGGTCGGCGGTTTTTCACGTTTTTGACATCCAGCCTCAAGAACTGAGGTGTGGGTAGCCGGCGCGGGGGGTCTGGGGTTCCCCCTTCCCCCACCCGGGGAGGGGGGAGCTGCGCAGACAGCGGCGCGGCGGTGTGTGTGACGTCACACTAGTTTGCTTGTTTTCGGTTGGGGAGTTCTATCCACTAGTTCGGTTTTTGGTAGCAATTTTAACCAGAATAGGGGTTTGTTTTGAGGCGGTTACCTTTCTGGGTGCCTGTTCCGGTCGATGGCAGACATAGAATGCTTCCAACCACACGGGGGCTTCTATAGGCCATTGCTCCCCTTGCCTCTCTGAGGGGTCCCGGTTCTGGCCGTGGTCCCCGGTAGGCCTAAGAACTCCATACACATGACTGATGCCAAAGTCTGACATTAGCATATCAGCCTGGGATAGCTCCGGGGAGCCTCCGGGACTCACCCAGAAAATGGCGTTTCATTACATTCAACGCTGGTTTTTTCCTGGTTTCTCTTTGTTCTTTACTGCTCTCTTTCCTTCCCTCTTTGTCTTCAGCTTTAGAATTCTTACATTGATCTCTTAAAAGACTTACAAATAAATTGATTGACCTGACTTTACTATGTATTGTGGACGTGTTGTTGGGACGGATTATCTCATTTGATCTTGTTAATATTTCCAGTTGCAGTTGAATATATAATCATTGTGTTTGTTTATGTTGGTGCATATTAATATTATTTATCTTTTCAGTTTGCGTTACATGTGTATGACAACTTAGTGTCGGTGGGGAAGAAGTACAACATGCTCCACTGTGGCTATTATGCAATGCGGTCGTTGAGGATTGAGAAATTTTATGCATTTTGGGGCCAAGACTTGGACTCGACAACCACCCCTCTCGAGTGTGGCCGCGGCTTCCGCGTTAAACTCAATGTTAGTCTCGTTTGTGTCTTTTTATGTATGATATTGTCAACAGGTTGAATGTATACAAAAATTTAACTTCCATAGTTATAATTTATATTATCCAATATTCTTACAATTGGATAAATTTCACATATAGTGGTCATCTTCACATTTACAGGAGGGTAATTTCACGTGTAAGTGATATTTGCAAAAATGCCACACTACTGGGTTGGGAGCTAGAGCCCCGTCCTTCAGTTTAGCAGCCTGTAGGCATGGAGGGCAACCATGGATTTCTTTTTCAAGATGACAGATGTTTACAAGAGACCTCAAGTAAAGAATGAGAACCCTGTGCACCCCACAGGAAATTCAGATCTTGCAGGGGCACCTAAAATCCTCTCAGGATGGTATGATCACCATGGAATGAACATCTAAGGATGGTCCACCTCATTTAATTTACCTTACCACTTTATTTAACCACATGAGACCAGAAGGCATGGCAGGATGTGCAGAATACCTCCGTTGAAGAGCAGAGGTTCAACAGGTACTCTGAGAGAGAACTATCAACAACAGAGGCCCGAGACTGTTCAACACGCTTCCACTACACATAACTGGCCGACCCCTCACAGTGTTCAAGAGAGAACTATCAACATCAGAGGCCCGAGACTGTTCAACACGCTTCCGCTACACATAAGGGACATAACTGGCCGATCCCTCGCAGTGTTTGAGAGAACTTGACAAGCACCTCCAAAGGATACCTGATCAACTAGGCTGTGACTCATACGTCAGGCTGTGAGCAACTGCATCCAACAGCCTGGTTGACCAGTCCAGCAACCAGGAGACCTGGTCGACGACTAGGCTGCGGGGATGCTAAGCCCCCGAAACCCTTGAGCCCCAGCTGAAGATAACCTCAAGGTTGGTATGATCACCATGGATTGAGCATCTGAGGATGGTATGCACAGTGCAAGGGTTAATATACTTCATATAAATTTAACTATATTTTTCTGGGGAGCCCCAGAGGCTCCGCGAAGCCCCAGAGGCTCCCCGAAGCCCCAGAAGCTCCCCGAAGCCCCAGAGGCTCCCCGAAGTCCCAGAGGCTCCCCGAAGTCCCAGAGGCTCAACCAGAAAATGGCGTTACATTACATTCAACACTGGTTTTACTTATTTAAACTCAATTTCATATATACTTGCCTCTAATTTTTGTGTTATGGTCTTACAGAAGAACATCGACTTCATTGGGCGAGAAGCATTAGAGAAGCAGAAGAAGGAAGGTGTTAAGAGGTTATATGTGCAGCTGCAGCTGGAGGACCACAACCCAGAAGTGGACCCGTGGGCTTGGGGCGGTGAGCCGATATACCGTAATGATGTGTTTGTTGGTGTGACGACTACCACTGGTTATGGCTTTACACTTAATAACTTGGTACGTTATAGTCATGTAAGGGATATATTACTTTGGCAGTTTTTGTATGAAGTCATGAAAAAGCCTTACAAATAATGAACATAATGGCTTTTCTTATTTCATAGTTGGATTCCCCTAATTTATCTTGATTTAGTAGTCTTTCTCAAATGGACTAATTCATACCATACATCTTCTATTGTGTCTGAACTATGCTATATATTTCAAGCAATCCTCCTGTTTAGATAGTACTTATTGTGACAATCATCAAGTCAGAATTCGTACGTAATTAGCTTCTAGATAGTAGTATACTGACTAGTAAGGAATTCTTTTAAAATAATTGCAGCCAAACTTCACTTGGTTGAAGGGTGAAGCTTGGTGAAGCTAAACCTCACCATTCAAAGTGGTTTACCTGGGTGTGTGTGGCTGCTGTTGCTTGTAAACACCTACTAGGAACCACAGGTGAGAGGTGAATGCAGGTGGGGACCAAAGCACAAGAGCACCTGAAGGTACGACTGTTCTCTGTCAGAGGTACTACCCTCCTCACCGACACCTCAGACACCCCTAGCCTAGTAATATAAGCAGTCTGGGTGGTTCTCGATGCTGTTTATGGAAATTAGATTGGTCAGCTCGATGGACGCTCAAATTCCTAGGTAGTTAGGCTTGAGCACTGCGATGGGTCAAGGTTTGAGATTGCCATAATGTGATGCACTTAGGAGAAGTAGAACACTACTTTATACCAACATTAGAATAACCATCCTCTACAACTGTGCCCAAGAATGTAGGTAGCAATCCAGAGTTTGAAGAGGCCGTTTTGTAAGCAGAAGTGGTGAGGGGTCTCTATTGCTCTTGTTATGGTACGGGATCTACACACCTAGTACTCAATAAACCCCAGTCCATATTCTCAAGGCCTACCTTGACCTAACCAGTTTCTAACCACCATAGAGTTGCATACCAGGCCTTAGGAGGCTGGACTGGGGCTATTGATCGAGCACTGGGTGCAAAGATCCCTACCAGTACGAGACTGATAGAGCCTCCTCACTACTCAAGCTTACAAAACAGTCTTGAAACTTTTCCAGCCTTTCTATAGATGTGGCGACCCATCTTCTGAAAATGGTAATTGTGGAGATGCACACAAAACTAATATCTAAAGCACTTTGAGGCACATAAAAAATACCAGAAATTTTTGTGTTAAATTTCAAACACTGACAAATATATTTGTCATAGTGTTTGTAGCTTGTATGGTCTTAAGCTCAAGGGATACCTGCTTGATGGGGTTCTGGGAGTAGTTCTACTGCCTAAAACCAGGCTTGACTTGTGAGAGTTTGGTCCACCAGGCTGTTGCTTGGAGCAGCCCGCAGGCCCACATATACCTGCTTGATGGGGTTCTGGGAGTTGTTCTACTGCCCAAGCCCGGCCCGAGGCCAGGCTTGACTTGTGAGAGTTTGGTCCACCAGGCTGTTGCTTGGAGCGGCCCGCAGGCCCACATATACCTGCTTGATGGGGTTCTGGGAGTTCTTCTACTGCCCAAGCCCGGCCCGAGGCAAGGCTTGACTTGTGAGAGTTTGGTCCACCAGGCTGTTGCTTGGAGCGGCCCGCAGGTCCACATATACCTGCTTGATGGGGTTCTGGGAGTTCTTCTCCCCAAGCCCAGCCCGAGGCCAGGCTTGACTTGTGAGAGTTTGGTCCACCAGGCTGTTGCTTGGAGCGGCCCGCAGGCCCACATATACCTGCTTGATGGGGTTCTGGGAGTTCTTCTCCCCAAGCCCAGCCCGAGGCCAGGCTTGACTTGTGAGAGTTTGGTCCACCAGGCTGTTGCTTGGAGCGGCCCGCAGGCCCACATGTACCTGCTTGATGGGGTTCTGGGAGTTCTTCTACTGCCCAAGCCCGGCCCGAGGCCAGGCTTGACTTGTGATAGTTTAGAGCGCTAGGCTGTTGCTTGGAGCGGCCCGCAGACCCACATATACCTGCTTGATGGGGTTCTGGGAGTTCTTCTACTGCCCAAGCCCGGCCCGAGGCCTGGCTTGACTTGTGAGAGTTTGGTCCATCAGGCTGTTGCTTGGAGCGGCCCGCAGGCCCACATATACCTGCTTGATGGGGTTCTGGGAGTTGTTCTACTGCCCAAGCCCGGCTCGAGGCAAGGCTTGACTTGTGAGAGTTTGGTCCACCAGGCTGTTGCTTGGAGCGGCCCGCAGGTCCACATATACCTGCTTGATGGGGTTCTGGGAGTTCTTCTCCCCAAGCCCAGCCCGAGGCCAGGCTTGACTTGTGAGAGTTTGGTCCACCAGGCTGTTGCTTGGAGCGGCCCGCAGGCCCACATGTACCTGCTTGATGGGGTTCTGGGAGTTCTTCTCCCCAAGCCCAGCCCGAGGCCAGGCTTGACTTGTGAGAGTTTGGTCCACCAGGCTGTTGCTTGGAGCGGCCCGCAGGCCCACATATACCTGCTTGATGGGGTTCTGGGAGTTCTTCTACTCCACAAGCCCGGCCCGAGGCCAGGCTTGACTTGTGAGAGTTTGGATGGTGTTACAGCCGGACTACCATCACTGGCCATATTTGTACATGTCTTAAACTACTGATGCGGCTGAGGCATTCCTTTTGTTTCAGATCTGTCTTGGTTTTGTGCGGAAGTATGACGAAAACGGAGAGATGGCGTATGTGACTGCGGACTACGTAATGGCTGGTCATTATGAGGTGGACATTGCTGGTGTGAGATACTCGGCAAGTGTTAGACTACGCTCTCCCACTCTTCCATCCAAGTTCCCCGAGACTCAAGATACTAATAGATACCTTGCAACACAAACTTAAAAGTAAGCAATATAAATATATATATATATATATATATATATATATATATATATATATATATATATATATATATATATATATATATATATATATATATATATATATATACAGTATATATATATATATATATAATATATATATATTTATTTATTTATTTATTTATTTATTTATTTATTTATTTATATATATATTTATTTTATAATATAGTTATAGGATGAGAACTACACTTGGAATGTCATGTTTGGTGTCCAACCACTTGGGGTAGACAGTAGAGCGACGGTCTAGCTTCATGCAGGTTGGCGTTCAATTTCCGACCGTCCAAGTAGTAGGACACCATTCCTTTCCTCCATCCCATCTCAAATCCTTATCCTGACCCCTTCCCAGTGCTATATAGTCGTAATGGCTTGCCAGTTTTCCCTGATCATTTTTTCTCTGTGTTTTTCCAATAATCTTTTTCATATAACACTTTGAAACTATGGATGGTTTTTGGTATGCACCACCTTCTCACTTCACTTGTTTCCACTTTATATAACTGTTGCCAAAGAGAGAACTATTGTAAACCTGTTTAGCATATTGTTTCATTATATTGAGTCTGTTGTCTCTTGTTTTTGAAGTTACAGATTAAAAAAATTCCTTGTCAGTTTGGTAATTTCCTGTCTCTCTTTTGTATTGGTTATATCACCACTTTTTTTCCTTCTCTCTTTCAGTTTTGACATATTAACCCTTGGGCTATGTGTCTGCTATTCCTTAACAACCCTTACAGTGCATGGAAGAAATAAATACAAAAATTTCAGTCTAATATTGTTAAAAATGTATTCCATGATCACAGACAAAGTGAAAACAAGAAAACATTGTATGCGACATACATACATAGGGGGCCTGGTAGCCTGGAGGATAGCGCGCAGGACTCGTAATTCTGTGGCGCGGGTTTGATTCCCGCACTTGGCAGAAACAAATGGGCAAAGTTTCTTTCACTCTGAATGCCCCTGTTACCTAGCAGTAAATAGGTACCTGGGAGTTAGTCAGCTGTCATGGGCTGCTTCCTGGGGTGTGTGTGTGTGTGTGTGTGTGTGTGTGGTGTGGATTGACAGTTGAGAGGCAGGCCGAAAGAGCAAAGCTCAACCCCCGCAAACACAACTAGGTGAGCAACTAGGTGAACACATTGGCTATGATGGGGTGAGGAATTCTGGCAAAATACAGGTATTAACAGATCTGTTGCGAAGATATTATTACTGATGTTGACCAGACCACACACACTAGAAGGTGAAGGGATGACAACGTTTCGGTCCGTCCTGGATCATTCTCAAGTCGATTTGAGAATGGTTCAGGACAGACCGAAACGTCGTCGTCCCTTCACCTTCTAGTGTGTGGTCTGGCCAACTTACTTTAGCCACATTATTGTGACTCATCGCCTGCATATTATTACTGATTTATTTCAATGTCACTGTTTGGTTTTCCTCTGGCTTTTTGCAGTAATAGTGTGTAATTTGATCAACTGAAGTGTGTGGAATAGTCACGTGTAGTCATGTATATTTTGCACTAATTTCTAACAGCACACACATTGAATATATAATATTTTCTTTGTATTTTGAATGTTTTTACCAATATTTTTCAAGTGTAATGTTGTATTGGGCTGTCAATAATATTATTTACATCATAGTACTAGTATGTGTACAGTAGAATATTGGTAGTCAGAGATATATTCAGTTCATTAGAATGTCCAGGGACCGGGGAACCGGTCGGTCGAGCAGACAGCACGCTGGACTTGTGATCCTGTGGTCCCGGGTTCGATCCCAGGCGCCGGCAAGAAACAATGGGCAAAGTTTCTTTCACCCTATGCCCTTGTTACCTAGCAGTAAAATAGGTACCTGGGTGTTAGTCAGCTGTCACGGGCTGCTTCCTGGGGGTGGAGGGCTGGTCGAGGATCGGGCCACGGGGACACTAAAGCCTCGAAATCATCTCAAGATAACCTCAAGATCTGACATGAGTTACATGTTATATTCTTTGAACAATAAATACTGTTTTTGCTGTTATTGCACATTACATAAAACTATATACATTCTTGTGTGGTTAAAAGTGCACCTTGACAGGAATTCTGAGAGCTGCTGCTCTTTCAGCTAGGAGGTGTTGGGAATTCCAGAATAGTAGTTTTGTTAATTGTTCATTGCTTTTTATTCTTTTATTTTCGTTTCATAATTCTGTTTAGGTAAATCCACATTGTGTGTTTCCTATATATATATATTATTTCTTCCCCTGGTAGCTGGCATGTGTTTTCCTTGCTTTGTCAAAAATACCTGCTCGCAGGAATTTGAATTCCTCCTGCAAGTTGGCTCCTCTTGCGTTATCTGGCTTCCACGTAGTGTGAGGGACAAGCTATCCACGGTGAGGTCTCTTGTTAGGGAGTTCATGTAGTTAGCTACGTGCACTTTGACAGGGCGTGCGCTCGGGTGCATTTTACCTTCTGGTTGCAGCTGGTGGAGTGACTGTTGATTGATGAGTAGTTTGCAGAGAGAATTGGGGATCTCATGATTCCTGTTCTTTCCTAGATGGTGTTCCTGAGTGAATTATGGCATGATAGCAAGCTGTCAACTCAATTCAGTGATGGCTTGAGTTACCCTGTTGAGTTGAGCTTGAGTTGAGTGGGAGCCGGTCGGCCGAGCGAACAGCACGTTGGACTTGTGATCCTGTGGTCCTGGGTTCGATCCCAGGCACCGGCGAGAAACAATGGGCAGAGTTGCTTTCACCCTATGCCCCTGTTACCTAGCAGTAAATAGGTACCTGGGAGTTAGTCAGCTGTCACGGGCTGCTTCCTGGGGGTGGAGGCCTGGTCGAGGACCGGGCCGCGGGGACACTAAAGCCCCGAAATCATCTCAAGATAACCTCAAGATAACCCTTCACTGTCGTCCTTCCCTTTTGTCCGTGGCTAGACCATTGGTAAAGTTTCTCGTCACAGTGGAGAGACAAGTAGGTTGGTGCCTGATGAGTAAATAGTCCTGACGGACTCTTTTTGGCTCCATAAGTAACAGACACACTTGCTCATCATTTCCTTTCACTCAATGCCATGTTTTCTTCTATCAATTCTGCTCTTATTCATGGCAGGTATTGAAAATAAGAGTGATGCAAGAAGTGTCATAATACAGTACCTATGGTAATTATTGTAGCATTTTCACTCTACATTTTGTAATCTTGTTCAAAACCACATATCACTGAGGAGCTTACATTATTTTTATTCATAAACATACACAACTTTTCTGCATATTACGCACAAAACTTCATTGATCTAATTATTTTTTGTGCATTTTTTTGCATTTCAGCAGCATTGATCTAAATTAGAAGAGGAGTCTGACAACATTCTTAAACCCAAAGAAATGTAATTCCTTGGAACAAGAACAGATGTATGTGATGCCATTTAGTTATAATGAATCTAGTCATTGTTATTTTAAATTGATAGAAATTTCCCCATAGTAAAAAGACTCATCACTTGCTGGCTACAGGTGAACATTACATTGTATATAGAGTACTGTATGTAGATTAAGACTGTCTTGATGACCAGACCACACACACTAGAAGGTTCGGTCCATCCTGGACCACACAATCGACTTGAGAATGGTACAGGACGAACCGAAACGTCGTCGTCCCTTCACCTTCTAGTGTGTGGTCTGGTCAACATACTTCAGCCATGTTATTGTGACTCATCGCCTGCTTAAGACTGTCACGACAGTAGCGATGTTTTGCTCGAACAAATAACTTGCTTCTGTGGCCTTGTTGCTGCAAAACTTTGAAGTTTTTAATTTTGTTTTGTATAAATGAGAATTTGTTACTGTAGTGTAAAGGATAAATACATGTTATATTAGCTCACAGGAAGTGTCTTGCAACCCCCCACTCCTTTACCGCTAAAATGTCGTCCAAAACTAGATTCAGACACCAGCGAGAAACAATAAATTGTGAGTTGATGGTAACTACAAGCACCTAATACATGATAATCTCATTGCATAATAAGCAATTAAAATCCAGAGCAGAATTTTTTGCATGGGTCTAGGCTAACAACGTTATTTACATTAAAATATAACCACACTTACATTCATGTGTATAAAAACTGGGTGATAATTCAAATCAACATATGATGGTAACCACATTACTCTGGGGATCATCATAGGCCGATAACCACACGTTGACGGGTTGGGAATAGATTTTCCCGGGCCCCCTTAGGGATAAGTGCATATTTCCCGGATAAATGTGTGTTTCCCAGTCCCAGTGTTAGAGATAAGAATGGGAAGCTCCGGAGGTGCTGCTCAAATGGACATTTCATTTCATTTAGAGCATTTCATGCTCTATTTTTTTCAGCAACGCTCTTACAGTACAGTAGCGCCTCTAAGCCTTCCGCCAGAGGTAGCAAGGGAAACTACTTGACTCGAGTAAATGTGATTGTATACTGTAGAGGAAACAGTAGCTTACCAGTGCTGTTGTGGTGCCAGAAAATACAACTTAGAGCACTTAGCAACTTTCTACTGATGATGATGATAGAATATAATGAGAGATACTACCACCTATTTCCTAAATTAATATGGGTCAAGGGAACCTAGAAACTCATAATAATTCAGAGTTGAAACCCATCCTTATATATCCCACCACTGATAATTCAGGAAACCCATCCTTATACATCCCATCACTGATAATTTAGGAAACCCATCCTTATATATCCCACCACTGATAATTCAGGAAACCCATCCTTATATATCCCACCACTGATAATTCAGGAAACCCATCATTATATATTCCACCACTAATAATTCAGGAAACCCATCCTTATATATCCCACCACTAATAATTCAGGAAACCCATCCTTATATATCCCACCACTGATAATTCAGGAAAAAGAGGGCTGGGAGCCAGAGCTCAACTGGTCACTTGGGAACCACCGAAATGCGTCATGCAAAGCTCTTGAACCTCGGCAGCAAAATCTGGACTATAGGGAGCTGGTAGATAAAGGTCCACCTTGTTCAGTCCAGATGAAATGTGTCCAACACAAAGGCGCCTAATAAGAAATAGTTACATGATCGGGAAACCGATGGTTCCACTTGGAGACGAGCAGATTCACTTGTGGACATTCGAGTGTCTTGCGTACCCAGTGAAAGGAGTCCAAGTCCACCACCCACTACATCAAAATGGTGCGGAAGCAGGAAAGACCTGCCAAGAGCTTAATTAATAGGCCTTGAATGTGGACTGCCTGGATGGATAAACTTTGAGAAACCAGAACCGAAGCTGCGACTGGAAGTTGAATGAGCGAGTAGCAGAGAGTGCGTTGAGGTCCAACACTATGCCATCCATAAAATTCAGAAGAAAAATGCACTCCTCAAATTTCAGGAGTAAAAATCTCACTATAGCACAAGCTCAAGAGAAACTGCCGGGCTAGATCAGAATTTGATTTAAATATAGGTCAAGATACCCTGTAGGGTGAGTGGTTAAGTGGCAGATAGGGGGAAGAGTTATTAAGGGTGAGAGGAAGGGATTTTTAGGATGAGATAACGTGCTAGGACTAGACCCAGCTGTATGGTATTTAGGCACTATGACCAGACTAAGCGAGCAATGTCAGAAGTGAAGATCTCACCTCAGCACAAGCTCAAGTGAAACTACAGGAGCTAGAACCCAAAGTTGAGTGAAAGAAACACTCCACAAAGTACAGTATAGGAATGGAAATTTGAGCGTGCACCTGTCCTAGAGTGGACAGCAGTGTTGGCCACCATACACACTGCCAAGCCATAGTGAGCAAAGGCAGTCGTGAGCTTAGTGGAGGATCACCACCACTCCATCCCCCACAGTTCAGACAAAATACACTCCTCTAAGCACAGGGGTTATAAATACTGAACATTAGAAACATTACAAGTGCAATAGCCAAGCATAACAGCAGATAAATCCGCTAATAAACCCCAACTTGCCCAATTCAGTGTCAGTCAGTCACAGGCATGAGACACTGTGACAAGACCAACATAACGAATGCCTTCCACTACATGCATGTCGGCTAATGGCACATGTCACCAAAGTTATCGCTAGAAGTAAACAGCAAAAATTAATTATACAGGACTGGACATTTACTTGAACCTCAATCTGAATGCATAAGCTGTCCCCATAGCACAACTGCTGCTGCTACCACTGTAATATTGAGGACAACTGCTGCTACTACTACTGTAATATTGAGGACAACTGCTGCTGCTACTACTGTAATATTGAGGACAACTGCTGCTGCTACTACTGTAATATTGAGGACAACTGCTGCTACTACTACTGTAATATTGAGGACAACTGCTGCTACTACTACTGTAATATTGAGGACAACTGCTGCTACTACTACTGTAATATTGAGGACAACTGCTGCTGCTACCACTGTAATATTGAGGACAACTGCTGCTGCTACTACTGTAATATTGAGGACAACTGCTGCTGCTACTACTGTAATATTGAGGACAACTGCTGCTACTACTACTGTAATATTGAGGACAACTGCTGCTACTACTACTGTAATATTGAGGACAACTGCTGCTACTACTACTGTAATATTGAGGACAACTGCTGCTGCTACCACTGTAATATTGAGGACAACTGCTGCTACTACTACTGTAATATTGAGCACAACTGCTGCTACTACTGTAATATTGAGGACAACTGCTGGTACTACTACTGTAATATTGAGGACAACTGCTGGTACTACTGTAATATTGAGGACAACTGCTGCTACTACCACTGTAATATTGAGGACAACTGCTGCTACTACTGTAATATTGAGGACAACTGCTGCTACTACCACTGTAATATTGAGGACAACTGCTGCTACTACTACTGTAATATTGAGGACAACTGCTGCTATCACTGTAATATTGAGGACAACTGCTGCTACTACTACTGTAATATTGAGGACAACTGCTGCTACTACTACTGTAATATTGAGGACAACTGCTGCTACTACTGTAATATTGAGGACAACTGCTGCTACTACTACTGTAATATTGAGGACAACTGCTGCTACTACTACTGTAATATTGAGGACAACTGCTGCTACTACTGTAATATTGAGGACAACTGCTGCTACTACCACTGTAATATTGAGGACAACTGCTGCTACTACTGTAATATTGAGGACAACTGCTGCTACTACTACTGTAATATTGAGGACAACTGCTGCTACTACTACTGTAATATTGAGGACAACTGCTGCTACTACTACTGTAATATTGAGGACAACTGCTGCTACTACTGTAATATTGAGGACAACTGCTGCTACTACTGTAATATTGAGGACAACTGCTGCTACTACTGTAATATTGAGGACAACTGCTGCTACTACTACTGTAATATTGAGGACAACTGCTACTACTACTGTAATATTGAGGACAACTGCTGCTACTACCACTGTAATATTGAGGACAACTGCTGCTACTACCACTGTAATATTGAGGACAACTGCTGCTATCACCACTTGTAATGATTGAAAACCAAGAGCTGTCACCACCTCTGTTTAATTATCTTCTAATTACTTTTAATTATTCTAATATCTCTTGATAATTACCTCTCATTGCTGCAGAGGAAAGACAGTGACAATAGCTAGGACCACCTGGTCTCAAACGACCATGGTACTGAAACTCGACTGATAATCCATGTAAATTGACCAACAATTACTCATAAATTAAAGCAGGCATTAATTAAACATTCACCGGACAATCAGCAGTAATTATAAGAGATATTCCAGAACTTTAGTTCACTCACCCCATCATATAATAAACATGGGGTCCACTCATACTCAGATCTTGGTAACAAACAAATTGATTAATAATATAAGTACTTTCCTAATTCATATATCCCTAAGGTAGTGGAATTGGCAGTGATCATGATGTGTTAAAGTTAGTGGAAACAGGCATTTACCTCCTCTACAGGGACGTAATCCAAGGTGGCCTAGTATCAGGTCTCTCCCCTACACGAGTAATTCCCATAACCTCGAGCACCTCACAAGTGGCATCTGGCCGAGCACTGATGTAAACAATGAAAAACGGGAGGCTCCTCATGAAGAAACCTTATACATTACATCTTTGCCACTAATGCCACAAGAAGGTCCTGTACCATAGGGGTCAATCTCGTGGCCCCTCCTCTCGGCTGTTACACCAATTACTCGAACCAATTTTACTGGCAAGAATGCCACATAAATAAAAATTGCATAATGCTAAATGCCACTCGCTAAGTACTACCAACTATAATAATTTAAATTTTCTGTATGTTCATTGACACAAATACAGTGTATCATAATTTTACTTATTTTTCCAAGATTACCTGGAAACCTAATCTGAACAGTTAAAGATCAGTACAATTAAATTGCACTGATAATCTCCTGACTTCCATTGAACTAACTTCTGTTCCTGTGAGACATGATTAATGTCAAATATAAAGAAAACTAATTTAATAAATTTACAATAAACTGTTAATGGAACATTCTTTTATTTTTTTATCCTATACTCTAAGAGTAAATTACAGTATATTGTTTTTGGAACAATCTGGCAAAACCTTCCTAAAATCAAGTGGATGAATCTCTATACGTGTTCTTGACGTATCAACTTTGCGTTATAGTTTAGTGTCGATGGTATATTTTGATATTGCACCCATACCTTGAGGTGCTTCCGGGGCTTAGCGTCCCCGCGGCCCGGTCGTCGACCAGGCCTCCCTCCTCCAGGCCATATGTCAATTTCTGTTGTGTAAATCACTACTAGAATGTTTTGGCTCTTATGATATACAATTACTGCAACTAAACATTATATTATGGATTCCATTACGTACTACATCTTGTGCGAGTCCAGATAAACAATTTACACGTCATCGTATTATAGGATGCCACGTTTAGTCTAGGATGTCATTTGATCTGGATCACTTTCTCTTTCTTCCAATGCAATAACCAGCTTTTTATATTATGACATTGTGGGTTTGGCCCACTGGCTCTGGCATCCTTAGCACCTTCCAGCTCTCCTCATACCTCTCTATTATTTAGCTTCATGAGTCATGTAGGAGCAGGTTCTGGAAACCTTTCCTGGTTTATTGATATCTTAAGATACACAAACTCACAACTGCTGCATGTTCTAATTTTGGTCTCATGGATGTTACGAATAGTTGTTTTGTATTTGTCCTAACATTATATAAAAACACAATCTGAAATTTGTAAGTACTGTACTGTATAGCATAGGCTTCATGACTTTGAGGTGATCCTCTGGTGAATTTATTATCTTGAACCACCCTTCACCTTCTAGTGTGTGGTCTGGTCAACATAATTTACAGGTTGAGTTTAGCCTGTTTTCCTTATTCCATATTTAATTATGTGGCATTTATTTACAGTTGTGCCATTAACTCCTTTTCTTACTCATTTTAAATGGCCTGACACTCGTCTGTCTTTTTTTTCTCCCTAGAAGCGTAGCATCATTGAACATATTCATGTAAATCTGAATTCTCTCCAGTAACATATTTCACTTGATTATACAAGTGAAAATTCTTAAGAGAATGGGTGATATTACCACCAACACAATCATTTAATAGATTTGAATTTTATTAAGTGTCAAGTAGTGTTTTTATTATACAGCCTTTAGAAAGTTATTGATGTCTTCATTGGATTAAAAAGTAGTTATACAAGGTTATAAAAAAGTAGTTTTTTTTGTGTGTGTGGGAACACCTACCGCATGGGTTCAAGCCTTCATCACGGCTCCTACGGACTTTCTCATTGATGCCATCACATTAGTGTTATTACTCTGTGTAGTTATACAAGGTTAATTGAGAAACTATGTGAAGCAAAAAAGATGAAATATTGCTGTATAAAATGACAATGGATGAATACGATACATGTAATACCTAAAGATGTGTCAAGTAATTACTGCAGTGGGTGGAGTTTTGTGGTACATCCAGGTACAAAGACACGGTGGCATTAGTCTCTACACCACAAGGCATATCACCCATTTAATAGAAAATTTTGCCAGTTTACCATGTACTGTACATATATTATGGTATATGTTATACCTCCTATCATTTCATACTATTAGACATCACTTATAATAAGAATTGGCTCCCAGTTCAGAGTCAAGTGCGTGCCCGGAAACAGCACTTACAAGTCAAGTCTAGCCTCGGGCTGGACTTGGCGAGTAGAACTCCCAGAACCCCATCAAGCAGGTATATGTGGGCCTACGGGGCGCTCCAAGCAACAGCCTGGTGGACTAAACTCTCACAAGTAAAGTCTGGCCACAGGCTGGGCTTGGGCAGTAGAACTACTACCAGAACCCCATCAAGCAGGTATTAATTAGGTAGCACAAGATACATATTGTGTGCTCGGTAGGTAATTATTCAGAAATCACAATGAGCATTCAATTCTGATGCTACAAGATATTGGTATAGTTCTAGTGGTGTTTTCACACTGGTACAATATATGTATAATGTTTGTTCTTCTCACATGGCTGGAAACTAGGAGTGGTACACCCCTATTCACCGACTTATTCCTTAGGAAGCGCTGAGTGTTAAGCTCTGGTGTTAGAATACAAGGTAGCATGGAGTTTTTGGGCATGCTTCCATGTCATTGTTCAATTAGTTTGTTTCTTTAGTTTTGGTGGCCAGAGACTGGAAATTAGACCAATTTTAGTACTTGCCTCCAGGCACTTTTTATCTAACCATTATGCACCTTTCTAGGTGTATAGCCCAGTGTCATATAGCCTAATGATAGGCCATCTGCTTGGAAACTAGAACAAATATTAAATATAACGACTTGACATGTTCTCAGGTCGACACAATCGACTTGAGAATGGTCCAGGACGGACCGAAACGTCGTCGTCCCTTCACCTTCTAATGTGTGGTCTGGTCAACATTAAATATAACCCCTTAAATATGACTTATGAATGAAATAACCTGATGATCATCTAAGAACCTTGCACTGGTCATGGAAAAATTATAAATTTAGTCAGGTTTCTATTGTATATCTTTAATGTTTCAAAATGTTTTTCGATTACGGTATATTCAAAGTTCCTTGTATTTTAGTAGTTTTGCTGCATGCATTGATGTATGCACCACCAGGCAGAAACAAATAGGCAAAGTTTCTTTCACCCTGAATGCCCCTGTTACCTAGCAGTAAATAGGTACCTGGGAGTTAGTTAGCTGTCACGGGCTGCTTCCTGGGGTGTGTGTGTGTGGTGTGGAGAGGAAAAAAAAAGTAGTTAGTAAACAGTTGATTGACAGTTGAGAGGCGGGCCGAAAGAGCAAAGCTCAACCCCCGCAAACACAACTAGGTGAATATAATATATCTGAAGGGTCAAACAATGTCCCCACTGCAATAGCTACATTAATATTACCAATATCAGCCCTACAAGTCCTTAATAGCCTAACAGAGATTGGAGCCAAACAATTACAAGATTCACAGAAAATGAAGAAATGCAGCAGCAAATTACTTTACAAATGATCCACCCAGCAGTTAGGTCAAAACCTCTAGTTACAGCTGGTCACTGCCAGGTGGCAGCACCGTTGAGAGCTACTGTTTCCTACATCAACATTCCTCAGTTCTTCACCTGATGTAGAATAATTTGGACTACTCTTAGTCATCCAGCCTTGCAGGTCTGAATTATTTCTAGGCGAGTGTTGGCCATTCTTTGGACCCTGCCCTGTGGGGAAGCCCATTTGATTTGTATAATTTTGAGTTTGCTTCACATGTATGTGTTTACAAACTTCACTTGTTGTGTGGACTTTGGTAACTGTTTGCCTTGAATTACTTGTGTTTAAGGCAGCCCTTTCCTAGGTGCTTGTCTGGCAATGTCATTGCCCTTACAGGGTAACTTCTCTGGTGGGTTCAGATCATCATCCCATAGAGGCTGACCTACTGTGTAGTGCAAGGTTCTTTAATCCCTCTGTGAGGCTCTGAAGTTTCAGGCATTCTGGGGTTTATTGATTGAAGGTGCACTAGGGTTCATATGCTTGTATATATGGCATGCTTCTGATGCCCTTCATAGCGACATTTATGTTGAGGGCAGCATTGTAATTACCTAAGTGTAGTTACAGGATGAGAGCTATGCTCGTGGTGTCCCATCTTCCCAGCACTCTTTGTCATATAACGCTTTGAAACTACTGACGGTCTTGGCCTCCACCACCTTCTCACCTAACTTGTTCCAACCGTCTACCACTCTGTTTGCCAAAGTGAATTTTTTTTTATTTCTTCTGCATCTTTGTTTAATTAGTTTAAATCTATGACCTCTTGTTCTTAAAGTTCCAGGTCTTGGGAAATCTTATGTCGATTTTATCAATTCCTGTTACTATTTTGTATGTAGTGATCATATCACCTCTTTTTCTTCTGTCTTCTAGTTTTGGCATATTTAATGCGTCTAACCTCTCGTAGCTCTTGCCCTTCAGTTCTGGGAGCCACTTAATAGCATGTCTTTACACCTTTTCCAGTTTGTTGATGTGCTTCTTAAGATATGGGCACCACACAACCGCTGCATATTCTAGCTTTGGCCTAACAAAAGTCGTGAACAATTTTTAGTATTTCGCCATCCATGTATTTAAAAGTAATTCTGAAGTTAGAAAGCGTGGCATAGGCTCCTTGCACAACGTTCTTTATGTGGTCCTCAGGAGATAGTTTTCTATCTAGAACCACCCCCAGATCTCTCTATCAAAATTCTTTAAGGATTTCTCACATAATTTATAGGTTGTGTGGGGTCTATGTTCACCTATTCCACATTCCATAACATGACATTTATTCACATTAAATTCCATTTGCCAAGTGGTGCTCCATATACTGTACTTATTTTGTCCAGGTCATCTTGAAGGGCATGACAATCATCTAAGTTTCTTATCCTTCCTATTATCTTAGCATCACCAGCAAACATGTTCATATAATTCTGTATACCAACTGGTAGATCATTTATGTAGACAATAAACATCACTGGTGCAAGAACTGAACCCTGTGGTACTCCACTTGTGACATTTCTCCAGTCTGATACATTGCCTTTGATTACTGCCCTCATTTTTCTATCAGTCAGAAAATTTTTCATCCATGTTAGAAGTGTACCTCTCCAACATTTTCCAGTTTCCAGAACAACCTCTTAGTGTGTCGTTTCATGTGTGATTGTGTATCCTGTCTGGTCCTTACCGTCAGGTTGTGGCAAGCCCTCAGGGTCTATGGTGTGGATCATTATGGACCGAACCATTGAGCCCATACTGCCTGCTTGCAAGTTTCAAAGGTTTCCGTCAGTTTTGCCACAAACCGATGGTCATTTATAATGTCTGCTTCTGCTGCCTGTTGGGTTGGTTTAAACACTTTACCCCAAGGCCTTCGAAGTTTGAGTTAACTTGGTTACCCTTCAGTTTTTTTTTTTTTTATGTACTGACAAGGCTTCACAAGCGATAGGTTCTTTGAGTTTTTTTAGCTGTTTTTGTTTTTGTTTAAATGTTGGCCATCCTTGGATGTTGTTCATCCTGCAGGGGCCATATATAATTATAATAACTACTATATATGGCCCTGCAGGATGAACAAAGTCCAAGGATAGCCAACATTTAGCATGAAGCAGAGGGGTTTGCCCTTCTGCTTCATGCTTGCCTATGCTTGTTATTCATGCTTCATATGGTTGTGTTGTTCCCAACCCGTCCTTGACTCGAGTCCATTCCATCTAGCGGTCGACCCCACAGATGCATTCATAAATTTTAACATGCTGTTCGTTCAAAACGGGAATTCTCACATAAATTAATAATATAATATATTAGCATATTGTGCATATATAGGCATGGGTTAGGTTAGGTTTTAGGTTCTGTTGGCGATTATTTATAGTACGTGGGTTAAGCATTTATAGCGTGGTTCAAACAAAATTCGTCAGTGAAGGATTTGTTCTGGAAGTGTTCGAACGAAATCAGTTGAGTCGTGTGTAAACCGTTTTTCATTCATAAACAGCTGGGGGTTTGGCGAGTGCATGGAATCACTTTTGGGTCTCTGTTTGGAGGACGGACTGGTTGTTCCTGTATTTTAGTATTGGCTTCATGTATGTGTTTTCTCTCAGGGTTGGTTGAAGTAGGTTCCCAAGTGGGTCTGATTCCTGGGCCTTGCACTTTCTGCTGCGAGTTCTTCTCCTCTATGTCTCAACTACACGTCACAGAAAGATGGTTCAGGTTACAAAAATAAGCTGTTTTTTAGCTACATAAACCTGGGAACTTATGGTGCTGAAATGGAAGTACAGTGTTTCAATAATAAGGTTAATAAAAGAACATATTCTTAACCTTGCTACCAAAGGCTATACTATAATTGAAATATGTCTTAATAGAGCCTAGGCCTAAATGTTAAGTATTACTCGAGTATATGTGCTATATATTAAAATAAAACATGGTCTAAATTTTGGGTTATCTTACTCTAGGAAAATACAAATATACTTGTACATCTAATTTTACAGAAGACTATATATAACTTAACTGCAACATGATTATTTACCATCCAATTGTAAAAATTCTTTGCTGTGGCCAAGCATCTCATTTAAAACAATAAAACAACAATACTTTTGTAGCAAGTCTACCTGACATGATAGCACAAAAGAACAAATCCACAAGGGCCGTGACGAGGATTTGAACCTGCATCCAAGAGCATCCTAGAGATAGAGAGCATCCACAAATGATAGCATTTGTGCTATCATTTGTGTATGATAGCACGAAAGTTTTTTTGGCCTCAATTTTCAAATACAGTAGTAGCCGCCATAGAGAAGTTTGTCCCATTATGCATCAAGAATTCTACTGAAAATGAATGGCATTCTTGAGTTCTTGGACCTACACACTATCAGATGCTCTTTACTGATTATTAATTTAGTTACAAAGGTGTTTTTACCTCAGGACAATTATGAGGTTCAGTGTGTGCATGTAGTAACATGTGACTTTTCATACTCCTATGGTGAATAAATCTTTTCCCACACACGGGACACTCGTGAAGTTTATCATCCGTGTGTACCAACATGTGGCGTATTAAAGTGCTACGGCCTCTGAATTTTTTCCCACAATCTGCACATTCGAAGCGTTTAGCGCTCGTGTGCACCATCCTATGCGACTTCATATTTTGGAGACGATTAAATGTTTTCCCACACTCGGGACACTCGTGAGGTTTAACGCCCGTGTGCACTGCCCTGTGAGTCTTCATAGATCCCAGACGGCTGAATTTTCTCCCACAGTCGGGACACTCGTGAGGTTTAAAACCCGTATGCACCGTTATGTGAATCTTCATACTTCCGAGTTGATTGAACGTCTTCCCACAGTAAGGACACTCGTGAGGTTTTTCACCGGTGTGCACCATCCTGTGCCTCAACATGTTCTGGAGACGATTGAAGGTTTTGCCACACTCAGGACACTCGTGAGGCTTACTACCCGTATGCACTCTCCTGTGAGTGGTCAAGTGACCGTGTTGGCTGAAGGCTCTCCCGCACTCTGGACACTCGTGGGGCTTTTCACCCGTGTGAACCATCCTGTGGGTCTTCATGTAGTCGAGACGACTGAATGCCTTGCCACACTCGAGACACTTGTGAGGTTTAGCAGCCACATGGACCATCATGTGAGCCTTCTTGATACGTCTAAGATGCCCGCAAGTCTTCCCGTACTCCGGACACTGACGAGGTTTGGTCGTCATCTTTATGGTCTGTCAAGTCTTCTTGATGGTAATGTCTCCCCAACAACTGCAGGAACTGTCTAGGGATATATATATGGTGAATTATGGGGCGTTTCCTTAGACACAGATCTTTGTCGAGTGAATTATGGGGCGTCTCCCTAGACACAAGATCTTTGTTGGGTGAATTATGGGGCGTCTCCCTAATTTGGCGGGGAGTTGAAGAGTATTACAGTCATTACTGCTGTCCTGGAGGCCATAGGAAACGAAACATGTGTGTTACAGTCTTGATTTTGAGGTTGTGGCGCTGCTTGGGCGTAAACTAGCAGGAAATGAGAGGCGGGAGCGGCCGAGGCTGGAGGTGGTTGTGATGGTGGCGGCGTCGGATCCCTCTACATTTTCTATGGCCATGTCTGGGGGGGGACTGGTCAAGTCGTATACTGCAATTTCGGATACCGGGCTAGAAACAACTTCGTTCACTGAGAAGTTTGTACATACAAACCATTCCGTTCGTATATGCGCTGGTTTGTGTTCGCTGTTGTTATCATCTGAATAAATACATGGCATTTGTTCATATAATTAGCGCTTCCATTATTAGAATTATTTATCCATTATTAGAACAAGGTGCAAACCATACCCCCTTACAGTTGAAATCTATTTATATACAAGAAGGTACATTGGGTTGCGAGAGTACATAACATATATTAAGAGGTACATTGTAGCAAGATTTGAGATTAAAGGATTTAAGACTAACACGTTTAGAAACAAGGCGCCCCGAAGGAGGCTATTATTTGTTATGCACCCCATACTCAACCAGTAAGTAGTGGAGCAAAACATAGATTACATAGTCATAAAGTCTTAATCAGACCAATTCAATTCTATTTCTTTATTATGCACCCCATACCTATCCCGTGGGCGGTGGTGTAAAGGATTACAGAGGCACATAATCGGTTCAGGAACTGAACCCTCTAGTTCGTTTAGCTAAGCAAATAACAATTTGTGACGCTAGTTACAAAATTATTAATATTATATATATACATGTACACACTCTCATACATACATGTACATATATATATATATACGTATACATATATACATGCACATACATATCTAATCACCTACACAAATACACACATCAATAATCTTTGTGTCACAAGTGATCAATAAGAGGCTCACAACAGTCACTATACAAGGCACTTTACATCTATGGTGAGTCACACAGTTACTAGTCTTGCTGCACACCCACCCAACTGGGCGGCAGCTTTACAGTCATTTGCTCCACACCCATCCAACTGGGCGGCAGCTTTACAGTTATGTGCAGCATTACCTACAGTAAGCAAATTTTGGATACTTCGCTAAGATTTCGAGCAGCACATCATTATGAATGAAGTACTTACACATTTCTTGGACACTATTGATGGTGTTATCCCTAAATTCCGCGATTTTTTCACATTCCATTATATAATGGCGCAAAGTAAGCGAATAGTTCTGCTGACAGAGTTTACATTTAGTCAAATCTACATCAGCAGATGTTACAAACTCCCAGAGGTACTTGTAGCCGAACCTAAGCCTAGCAGTGGTAATATCTAGAAGTCTGCTAACATTATTGGATGACCCATAGACGTGCGGTTCTTCCTGCATAATAGAATGACGATAGATGGAGTAACTGGTGTGAATTTCACTTTGCTTCAAGTCTCCGAAATTTAGCTGATGTTCCTGGGATATTGCTGCCCTCAGGCTGCTCAAAGGCAGTCCAAAGTACAGGCCCAGAAGGGGCCCGGGTACAGGCCCAGAAAGGGCCCGGGTACAGGCCCAGAAAGGGCCCGGGTACAGGCCCAGAAAGGGCCCGGGTACAGGCCCAGAAAGGGCCCGGGTACAGGCCCAGAAAGGGCCCGGGTACAGGCCAAGAAAGGGCCCGGGTACAGGCCCAGAAAGGGCCCGGGTACCTTTCGGGGCCTGAGGTTATCTTGAGATGATTTCGGGTCTTTAGTGTCCCTGCGGCCCGGTCCTCGACCAGGCCTCCACCCCCAGGAAGCAGCCCGTGACAGCTGACTAACACCCAGGTACCTATTTACTGCTAGGTAACAGGGACATAGGGTGAAAGAAACACTGCCCATTGTTTCTCGCCGGCGCCCGGGATCGAACCCGGGACCACAGGATCACAGTCCAGCGTGCTGTCCGCTCGGCGACCTTGTATATAAATAAATAGATTTCAACTGTAAGGGGGTGTTACGGCCCTCTCGGGACGCAACGGGGTCCTTACTCTGATGTTGTTAGAGGAAGATATAATGTATCCGTTCCCAAGCCAGCAGAGGCTATCAAGGGATGAGATCCGTGACGCAAGTAACTTAAAGGGAGTAGGGAAAGAAAGCTAAGAACTTAATATAATATAATGTCCGTCACCAATAAATAATATATAAAACGGTTACACAAGGGGGGGGGGGGGGTATTAACACTATACAAGGGGATTAATCCACAAATTAGTCTCCTTCTGAAGACTCTTGAGCCAGAAGCTAGGTGCTGAGTCCGCGGTGCTTTCTTCGTGGCCTCACGACGTGTCCTCTGAGAATGCCGAGCCTACCCGGGCCACAGGTCAGCCAAAACACAGGTCCACTGGGGGCACCGTCGTGGAGGCCGTCAACCATACGTCCAGCTGGTCTGCTGGCAGGTACTGAGCCACCAAGGCTGGTACGGCCACTCTACGAACGATATAAGGGGAACGCCCTAAACAGGAGCCTCGTGTGACAACCCAAGTCACTCTCCTGTCTTCAGTACCCCAGTGGATGATCGTCTCCAACAGTCGGTCCCGGGTAAATCCTCTCACTGCCACTCTACTGGCAGGCTAACACACCACAGTGTTCTTCCGGGGGGGACGACGTCACAACAGCTGCAGCAAACTTCACAGTATGGAGACTGGCTGCCTCGGGTAGACTGACTCAACCTTCAACACAGCGGTCCCAGGTCGACTCTGTAAACAGGCACGTCATCAATGACTGGGACACACTAAAACACCTTACTTACGGGCTCTGGCACAAACACCTGACGTATCCAGTCCATAGATGGCGCTGTCGTCGGAGCACCACCTCACCAGAGGTCAGGAGCGGCGGTGTTGAGCGCTGAACCAGACTGGAAACTGGTCCTCGAGGCCAGTACACGCTGTCCTCACTAGGTGTCGTCGTTCGTTTGGCGGGGGTTTCGGGAGCTGACCCACAGATGGCGTGTTTGTCACTGCTCCTTGCTCGGACGCTGGATCCGGGTTCGTAACACCTCCCCACCAAAAAGAATTTGGTTTGGGGTTCTATAAAAAGAAACACAAACCAAATTAGTACGACGACACAACTCCAAATGGACACACATGCATTATAATCTGGAATGGTGAGGCTGTCTCGTCCACAGAACTGTCCTACTGGGCAATTCCGACACAACGGGAACTTGAAGATTGAAGGCGATGTCCTGCCTGGCGTAACCTTCCACGTCTTCCACGTCTCCACTGCGATGTCAAGCAGGGGCGTCGTCTCACATCTCTCGAGTACGGATTGGTTTCGACACGATTTCGGGTGACTCGACACTTCCTTATGTCGTGGCACCGATGATGGCTGACCACAGACGGCATTTCTGGTGCCGGTCCGATGGTCCTTCAGGGAGACAGGAACCTGGAATACAGGGGTTTGATAATTCAGAGTGATCGCGGCAGTGGGTAAGTCAATACTTACAGCATACCCTACTAGGTTCACACCTAGTCCCAACAGGGCTGCTTTCACACCGAAGATGGCATTCGCTCTGCCTCCGTCAGGTCGACCAACGTTCCGTATAACGCTGTATTGAGGCTCAGCAATCACGCGGGGGGTGTCAACCTGCCGGAACCAGTCACTCATTTTATCATCTATCGTACCTCCTGTATCATCTATCACCTTCCAGGTCCCTTCTTCAACTGCAACACTTGCAGTACAAATCTCCAATCCCTGGGACCTTTTCACGATGTTCATGGGGGCCATCATTCGTCGGGTCGTCCACCGGTCCTTACTGAGAACACATAGAATACATAGGAGAATAAAACAAAATATCGCTAAGAAACATGAGGCCAATTGAGGGATAAGTTTCCTGAGCTTGTCATGTCCATAGCCGGCACCATCCACTAGCCTGGCTTGGACCAAAGAGGGCACTAGACCTTTTGAACACACCTCACATACCTCTGACGTCTGGGGAATCTCTGGCTGGTCCACTACACGCTGCAACTTGCCATACCGCAAGCACACCTCAGCCTTCGCTCCAGACTCGTTGGTATCCGTGGGTGTCTGCACACAAGGCCTCTTATAGTTCAGGTACTTCTGCCATTGTAACCTCATGTTCCTTGTCAAGAGAAGAATCAGGAGACACTGCTAGATAACTGTCGATCTCAATCTGTAGGCGAGAGGACAAATTAAACAGTTACATCCGGGTCTGTCTTTACCTGGACATTACCATTGCCTGTAGACACCTCTGACTGTACTGTTCTGGCTGACTCGTCCGCTATCTTGGGATGATTGTTGCTCCAATCGGTCACCAAGTCGTTGGCTAGTACCACGTCAATCCCAGCCACAGGGAGGGTATCGACTACTGCCAACTCACATGTGCCGCTGAAATAAGGCGAGTCAAGATGTACTGGCACTAAGGGGGCGATATACTGCGTCCTAGGAAACCCAACTAGGACAACCTTTTGTCGCCCATCCACACTTACTCCCTCGGGTAACGAGCTCTTCACGATCAGGGACTGGGCTGCTCCACTATCTCTGAGCACTACAATTGATCTACCAGTATGATCACTCGTTACATACCCGGTTGAAGTGTGAGGGGTCAACAAACTTGGTCCTTCCTGCGTCGTCGTCGACTGGCTTCCTGCTGGTGATGTTCCACAGCTCATCAACATCACCTCCCTTCGTGCACTGCCACCTCTTCTGCCTCGGCACCTAGCAGCTATGTGCCCCTTCTGCCCACAAGTCCAGCACACCATGTTCCTCCTCGGACTACGGTGTTTCGGACTACTA